AAAAACATTTATTGACTTTATCGCCCAGGATATCACTGTAAAGAAATCTGGTTGTTTTTCCATTTAGAGTGTTATTGAAGCAGAAATTGTGTATGTTCTTCTGAAACAGAAGACATATCAGTGATAACAGAAAACAGGTTACATTTGTTGTGTACTAACAAGAAATTTCAAGAGATCATCATCATGCTACAGGTATTTATTCTACAAACGTGGGCACACTTGATTTCTGAAAAGCACATTTAAAATATTTTCTTGGTGCCCAAAGGCACACTTAGAAAAAAAAGTATTTCTATCCCTGCGTACTCTCAGCCTGTCCTAACTTCCACACTTACATAGAGATGTTGCAGAAGCTTGCGTTGTGGAAGAAAGCCCTGATTTGTGATGGCTTAATGTTTAGTATTCGAATGAGGTTTTCGGGTAGCTATGTTGTAAAAAGCTAGGGCTGGGACGATACACTGTGTCACGATGTGATACGTATCGCGATATTTTACCTGCGATACGATGCGTATCACGATACATACACCTTGAAAGAATGACACAGTATTAAGATTTAAGATGATTTATTTGAAGGTATTTGTGTATAACAATAACACTATTGTAATAAGCAAACAAGTAACTCTATCATACTTGTGTGTTTTTCTCTAAATAAGTACTTTAACATGTTTAAGATAATACTGTTTTGAAAAAAGTTGTGTATCATTTTGTATCGATACACCAGTCGACGATATGATAGTTAGATGCTTGATTGGCATTTTAGAAGTTTTACCTGATGATGGGGCCAGAACAAGCCCTGAAACGTTGTACTCGAGAATAAAAAGAAGATGTAACCCAGAAAAAATCTCTATGTTCATATGATAGTTGTATCAAACTTAAATGTATCGTGATGTATCGGTACATTGGTGAATTGTCCCAGCCTTGGTAAAACCTTTTGTTTGTCACACCAAAGATACAAATTTGGATCCCCACACTGTTATGAAGTGTGAACCAGTTTGTGGTGTGCTGTGAGAGAATAGTCCTTGAATACTGTGAAAAGCAGCATCAAACTGTTCTGATAGGTTGTTAAGACTTTACAGAGATTGTGTTTGAAGTCACATGCAAACATTATGTCATTGTGTATATTTTAATAAGTGTCTTCTATAACATGCCCTACATGCTTGCATCAGTAGACAAATATTTTCACAGATCTATTTCACAAGAGGGAATTCAATACAAAAAGGATATAGGAGGATAGAATCAATCATGTTGCGCGTCCAGGTTGTAGGGGTGGTGGGGTAGTCTAGTGGTTAAAGCGTTGACTCGTCACGGCGAAGACCTGGGTTCGAATCCCCACATGGGTACAACGTGTGAAGCCCATTTCTGGTGTCCCTCACCTTGATGTTGCTGGAATTGCTAAAAGGGGCGTAAAGCCAAACTCAGTCAGTCAGTCAGTCAGATTGTAATGCATGGACAAAGATTTTAGAGGAGCTTCTTCTTTGATGGTCTTTTCACTTGAACAAAAGGTTTCTTTGTTGTTGCCAAAACTCGCTTGAAACAAGATCCAGGTTGAAAGAATATGTGTGTGCTTGTCTGTCCCGCTTCAATAAGTGTTGTAAATTATACAGTGTCGTTTCCAGAATACTGAATAAGGGTTTTAGTTTATTTTCTGTCTGAACAACAGGAGCTCTGTTTAGGGATGTTTTGTTGAATTTTGAGGTAAATCATCATGATCTTGAGTTTAATGGTTTTGGAAAAATGAAGGAATAGAACATATATTTTTTCAGTAATTGCCAAATAATTGCAAATGGGAAGTTCTACCGAAGGATATCAGCTAACACATAGTATTCCTTTAAGCGAGAAAGTCTCATGAATAATCATAATATTCTCATCTTTTTCTCATGGATGTCAAGATGTGAAGGCACATCCATAGGGCAAACCTTTGACTGCCCAGTCAAAATGAAGGATGAATGCATTCTTGATCTCAATGTCTGTTTTCTGAGACAGTTCAGATTCATTTCTGTACCACCTCGAATTTTGAATTTTGCAGAAGACAAATAATGTCCATACAAATGAATTTCTGGATATCTGAATTTCTTGTGAGTTACCTGGCCTATCCAAATTCTACAGAGGTGATAATCTACATAATGCGTAAGACCTATCCCATATTATGACAGTAAAAACAATCATATCCTTTTAGCAAATTCAGGTGAATGAAGAGTGCAGTGCTCTAGACCACCCCTTTGCGCTGTTCTAGCACTAACATTTTTCATGGCGCACTATACAAGTACGGACAGGTCATGTTGGCGCATTAATAAATTGATAAATATAAAATTAAAATGCATTCCAAATTTGTTTCGCTTGGCAGCTCAAGCAATACTCCAAACTAAGTAGGTCTTTGCAATAAGAGCAATACACCTATCCTCGTCGAAATGAGTTATTGTTGCTTTGAGTACTCCTCCAATGACTTTTAACCCTTGTTTTGAATGACAGTACAAAACCTAAAAATCGGTGTAATGAGAACAGCCGAAGCACTAGTAAAATTGGTTCCAATTGATCGGTTTTGTTTTGTGAACCAATCACGAGGCATGTTGCTGTTTCATACTTTTGTTGCCATGTGAGACACACTGGCCGTCAAATACCAATGTCAGTCAAACGTCTTTCATTTTCGCAGAGGAGGAATGTCCACATGTTGTTGTTTTTCGTTTTTGTAAAAACGTGGTGTCAAGAACTTTGCCTTTTCATTCAACCAATGCAGCAAAGGGTAGGTGATGTGTGTATGGCAGGTTCAGGGCCTAGATTTTGAAGCTCTCTTAGCGCTAAGATAATCGTAAGTGCCATACATTAACATAAACTTACGACTATCTTAGCGCTAAGAGAGCTTCAAAAATCTAGGCCCAGGTTTAGAATTCAGAACCAAAATTGCAAGTATTCCAGTATTCCAGTATTCTAGTATTCCAGTATTCCAGTATTCCAGTATTCTAGTATTCCAGTATTCCAGTATTCTAGTATTCCATTATTCTTGCTTATTCTTAGTTTCTCTGGGACCGCCTCCGTGGTGTAATGGTTAGAGCGTCCGTCCGGAGAGCGGAAGGTCGTGGGTTCGATCTCCGACCGCGTCATACCAAATGACGTTAAAATATGGTACTTTTTGGTCCCTGCCAAGCGTTCGGCAATAATGGGTACAACAAGGACTGGTCGGCTCGGAGTCAGTATAATGTGTCTGAATGGGGTATTCATGCTTCACTGCGGCATGGTATCTCAATGGGCTAGCACTATAAAACCAGCTTCAGTCTGGGCTAGTACAAGTAGCCGCACATACACATACACACGCATGCAGGTCGTCATATGAGCGAAATATTCTCAAGCAAGACGTTAACCCCAATTTCACCTCACCCCACCTCATCTCACCTCACCTTAGTTTCTCTGTTTCAAATTGTTGACCTCACCTGTATTGAAAGCTAAGAAAGTCAGCGAAATCATATAAGTAACTACAACAGTTGTCATGACCCACAATATTTTCTAAATAACTCACATAAATGAGGACAGGTGGACAATGGGCCCCTCTTTTAGAAGGGCTAGAATAAACACTGAGGGTGATAACAAACCTGATCCATAATAATGTGAAATTTGAGATAAAAATCATTAGACATGATTTTAAATAGTCTTTTTCTGTCCTGCTTGGCATTGCTTTATATGCAGGGATTTAGAGTACTAAGTATATTGTCTCAAATAGCAATCAGCTGTAATCTACCTGTGATTTCGTTAAATCACACAGAATTTTGATGCAGTGGTTGAAATAAATTGTATCATTAACCAGTATTATATCAGGAATAATTCATGTTATCTTAGTCGCAGCATTTACTAAATATATTTGAATATTTGACCATAATAAAATTGTGTGAATATTATCATTAATGTAAAGTATATTGAATGACATTTTTAATGTAACTAATCAAATAGATTACAGACATAGGTAAACATTGTTTAAGTCAAGTGCGTGTAACAACTAGATTAAATGAACACGTCTCTGTTCAGGGTAGCAATAATTCAGATAATGTTGACATGACAGTGTTCAAAATTAAGGGCGGCAAAGGGTCCTTAAGCTTCAGGGACCCCTCAATCTTTTATATTTAACAAGTTTATAACAAGGAGAGCAGTGGACTTTCATGCTTAGTTTCATCACTGCCAGTGCGCTGCTCCACAAGTGGTTCAGCTTTTGCAATGTAGGCAGTGGTTACGGGTTGGATGTTATCCCCCAAAATACTTGAAAAAAAGACATTCACTTCAGACTGTTGAAAAAGAGTTGTCTGCCCCAAATGTTAACAAAATTACATTTTTGCATGGTGTTTTTTCTAAAAAATAATATTCTTGTTCATATTTGTCATGTACATAAAGATCTAGTTTGTAGTTTTAGCTGACTAAATATCTGTTCTCCATATAAGACTTCAGGCCCTCCTTTCCTGGTCCCCTGTATACAAATAAGGAAGAGAGTTTTATGGATGTCAACTCTCTTCCTTATGTGTATCACTTCTAAATGCCATTGGGGCGGTGGGGTAGCCTAGTGGTTAAAGCGTTGGCTCGTCATGCCGAAGATCCGGGTTCGAATCCCCACATGGGTACAATGTGTGAAGCCCATTTCTGGTGTCCCCTGCCGTGATATTGCTGGAATATTGCTAAAAGCGGCATAAAACCAAACTCAGTCAGTCAGTCTAAAGACCTAAGGAAGCTTTGTTGGACAAGGTCCCATGCTTGGTATACCAAAAGTATATCTCATTTCGATCCTGGGCACATCTTTTTGCAGTTTTTCTTTCATCCCGTCACATGCCTGGCTTGAACTAGCTTTATCAATTAATCTCATTGCCCACCCTAATGCTGTGTCAGTCATAACACGACTATGGCAGCCCACTGCTACCTGTCCTTAAAGCCAATCAATACTCGTATCGATCCTGGTAGTGCCATGGCCATGAACGAGCCAGATTCACATGCAGTCTATATATAGCTTTTCTGTTGTTGTACATTGCCAGACTGCATGCCCATGACGAGTTTGGACTACCTGAAGTTGGCAGGGGCGGGGGCCGTCACTGTCGGTGCCCTTGCCACAGCTGCCGTCTACTACACCCGACCAGACCATGTCAAGTTTGCAGTTGATATGGACAAACAGTCCTCAGAAATACCCGTAAGTATGCCGTGACTGACCCGTCAGCTTCTGGTTTTGTTATTGCCCTCTCAGCTTGAGAAGCTGTTCATCAATGATTGAAGCATCTATTATTAACAATGTTGTTGAGTTGAACTGGTGAGTTGATTAGTAAGTTGCCACCACATTGTGAACACCGCGTACATTCCTGCTGTTCATTCAGTGTTTATGCTGTCGTAGTAAGAAGTGACATGGTTGAGTGGCCATTGTTAGTCACATGACCTGAATGGACATAGCAGGCTGAGTAGAAGTTCTCGGTAGAACATGCTTGATCATGGGAGCCAAAGGATCTCATAACATCACTCAGGGAATCCGTCCTAGTGTAGAGCTCACCTTCCAGTCTCAGGAATTAGGAGTAAGTTTGTTGTGCGTCTTTGTTTAGATGCTTCACAACGGTAGGCACATGTTCAGATCAATAAGAAGTGAGCATGAACAGTAACGGTGAAACCTATATTTGTTTATGGTAATGATCACACTCACAGTTGTTGTCAAACACGATGACATGTGTGTTTTTACAACTGTTCAACATGTGCTATGGACCAATGAAGTCGTCTTTAATCAATGGTGTGATCTTTTGAAAGTGTTGAAGTGTAATTGAACGTTTGTATTTGAAGGGGATGAGTTGTAGGGAAATATTACCTATTGTCTACTATCTAGTTCACAGCATTGTCAGTCATGTTTGTTATAAACCTGTTGAACAAGTTAAACATGATGTTAGGCTGATATAGCATTCATACATAGTATAAAAACATAAGGGTTTTTTGTCAGATATAAGGCTATGAATTATATAAGGGCTTCGAATTATCACAACTAGTTTTGGTGGGATTTGCATGCTGCTCTTATTGGCTGGATGAAGTGTTAAGTTATTTATATTTAAAAATGATGATATGCATAAATGTTTTTTCATCTTTATCACCATTTCTTTTATATATGGGTTCAGTGCTCATTATTCTTGTACATATATTGGTGTTAAGTGGTAAAAGAGCTTAAGGCAAACAAGAATGGACCATGACGAGCCTGTGTTTATTTCTGTTATATTTACATCATATGGTACAACTATCCCTCATAACCTGTTATTAACCTAATGACTGTATACTTATTATTTGTAATGTGTATTATTTTCATAACCTATTATTAACCTAATGACTGTACTTATTATGCAGTCTGGTCTGAAAAAACATCTTTTCTATTTGAAGTAAATGTGATACGTTGATTCACTTACATCCTAAACTATTCCAAGCATTCATTCAGTCTGAGACTTCTGCCACTAGTTTGTAGGTCAAGTACAATAGTCCATATTTTACACTGCCTATTTTTCCTACTGGATAGAGTGACTACCCAGACATTGGAAAGGTTGTGGTTTCTCAGGCAGCATCCTATCAAAAGACATTTAAAAAATGGTACTTTTTGTTACCCTGCCTGGCTCCAAGCTTTAAGGTGATAAAACAACTGTTGAGCTCTATCAGCAGAATGTGCCTGAGTTGGGTGTCCAAACTGTGCAATACAAAAATACAAAACATAAAAGTGTACAAATCTTGAATATGATGTTTGACTCTATTTCTCCTCACAGTGACATCTACTTAAAATCATTCCATGCAGCACGTTTGTGTTGGTACTGTATTCTCAGACGTTTGTGCCACAAACTGGTTTGAAAGTGTAGACGAGTGACTGAAGTTACAGACTGTATGCATGTAAGAACACAGATGGACATGATGCTAAATGTCAGATTGTCATGGTCCTGTTTGTTAATGTTTCAGGGCAAAGATCGTGCACGTATCTCCCGTCTGTGTAAGGATGGTAAGCTGCTGGAGTACAAGACAGAAGATGCGAAAACACTGCACGAGGTGTTCAAGAGAGGAGCAAGACTGTCCAGTACGTACACTTACGTTGTTGTTGTTGTTGTTGTTGCAGTAGAACAGTGACATGATGCCAGACCACATCACACCAAAAGATGGTGGTGCCTGATGCACAGCATCAAGGTGATGACAAGAACTGGTCAGTTTGGCGTGTACTGAGTTTGAGTGGGATGTCAGTAGAGCTGTGACGATATATCGTAGTATCGATAATCGTGATACATTATCTGACGATAAATATATCGTTACGTTTTTTCGTATCGTATCGTTGACCTTAAAATTGTTAATTTTCATTAGATATTGACGGTTATGTCAAAATTTCTTGCTATTAGCATTTATTTTTTTAAAGAAAATAACTAAAGAAAGCATATCGTGATATGCATCGAATCGTATCGTATCGTTTCAAGATATCGCGATACGTATCGTATCATGAAATTTCTGTATCGTCACACCTCTAGATGTCAGTAATATAGGTAGTATAAAATACATCACCTACATACATATTGCAGTTGCAATCTCTACTAGTATTATCAGAGATTCTACCAGTAGAGACTCTGATCGCAATCTCTACTAATAGAAACTGGTAGATTCTACCAGATCACAATCTCTACCCTGACATATACATAGAACAGAGCTTTGTTTCTCTCCTACCATGACATCTCCAAATTCAATACGAAAGATCCAAATGCACTAGTAAGACGTTATATATTATTACATACCCTTTTCATGTCACAGACTCTAAACGTCAGTATTGAAACTTCCACATTGAGTTTACCATGACCTGAGTATGGTTCCACGCAAGGGACATATCACACATCTATATTTGAGATCCATATCCCACATCTATATTTGAGATCCATATCACACATCTATATTTGAGATCCATATCACACATCTATATTTGAGATCCATATCCCACATCTATATTTGAGATCCATATCCCACATCTATATTTGAGATCCATATCACACATCTATATTTGAGATCCATATCCCACATCTATATTTTAAGATCCATATCACACATCTATATTTGAGATCCATATCACACATCTATCCATATCCCACATCTATATTTGAGATCCATATCACATCTATATTTGAGATCCATATCACACATCTATATTTGAGATCCATATCCACATCTATATTTGAGATCCATATCACACATCTATATTTGATATCCATATCCCACATCTATATTTGAGATTTCACACATCTATATTTGAGATCCATATCACACATCTATATTTGAGATCCATATCATCTATATTTGATATCCATATCCCACATCTATATTTGAGATCCATATCACACATCTATATTTGAGATCCATATCCACATCACATCATATATTTGTTGATCCATATCCCACATCTATATTTGAGATCCATATCACATCTATATTTGAGATCCATATCTATATTTGAGATCCATATCACACATCTATATTTGAGATCCATATCACATCTATATTTGATATCCATATCCACATCTATATTTGATATCCATATCCGCATCTATATTTGATATCCATATCCCACATCATCATATCACATCATTGAGATCCATATCACACATCTATATTTGAGATCCATATCACACATCTATATTTGAGATCCATATCACACATCTATATTTGAGATCCATATCACACATCTATATTTGAGATCCATATCACACATCTATATTTGAGATCCATATCACACATCTATATTTGAGATCCATATCACACATCTATATTTGAGATCCATATCCCACATCTATATTTGAGATCCATATCACACATCTATATTTGAGATCCATATCACACATCTATATTTGAGATCCATATCACACATCTATATTTGAGATCCATATCCATCACATCTGCATTTAAGATCCATATCACATCACATCTATCCCACATCTATATTTGAGATCCATATCACACATCTATATTTGAGATCCATATCACACATCTATATTTGAGATCCATATCCCACATCTATATTTGAGATCCATATCACACATCTATATTTGAGATCCATATCACACATCTATATTTGAGATCGCATTCCTCCACCTGACATCATCAATCAAGTGCCAGGTTCAGATCATGAAAGAAACAAAAGAGAGAAACTTTTGGCACAAAATAAATATCCAAGTTCCGATGTTTACAGAAGGATGCAATTTTAGATTCAGGTAGGTTTACCGTATTGCTCGACTGTACTGCTATCGTAACATTACATGAGTGTGTAATAACGGCATTCAGTATATAAGTGCAATAATCTTGAACACATTGTTAAACCCTGATTCGCCTCATTTAACCTGATAGTTTAAGATGGACCATAGATAGTTTAAGATGGACCATGGATAGTTTAAGATGGACCATGGATGGCCCTGTTGTCTAAGTCACCACATCTCGCTATGCAAAGGCCCTTGATCTCACTAGAATCCTATGGTTCTGGGTTTGAATCCAGGTTTACCCTGATGATGTCTCCATGTTATCACCACTATACCCATTATGGGTTTCAACTAAGTGGTAGATGACTGAGACCATCACTGTCTTTCCTGCCATGTTAATCTGACATGCTGTGATATAACTGAAATACTTTTTAAAGCTGAATTATCTGTAATCCACTCAATTACAATTGTATAAGAACAGAAAACAGAAGAGATCCCCATTGTTCAGTTGATGGAGCTGGAACTGCAGAAACAAGCATACATGAATAGGTCATGTCTGGAATTAAGGTTGATTAATGGGTTTCAGCTTCTTTATTCCCTCGATGTGATGTTGGTTAGATTTGCTTGTTTCTGTATCAGGGAAGGGCTCACTTTACAAAATCCCAAGCACAAGTTCTTATACTGAAAAGGCACAAATTTATAGAATATAGAAGTTCAAAAGCATTATTATACTTCAGTTACTGCAGCTTGTAAATACAATGTTAAGATAGGGTCATGGATTAGCAGGATCCTAGCAGCATATGGCTGAATCTGAATGTGAAATGACTTGTGAAGATCTGGGTTTCAGCCGACTTACGGGGTTGGGTGGTCAGGCGCACTGACTTGGTTGGCACATGTCATTGTATCCCATTTGTGTAGATCGATGCTGATGATGTTGATCACTGGATTGTCTGGCCCAGACTGGATTATTTACAGACTGCCGACATATAGCTGGAATATTGCTGAGTGCAGCATAAAACTAAATTGACTCAATGAATGTTAAATAGAGTCTTGATGTGTTCTAAGAATCATCACTGCCTCCGTGGTGTAGTGGTTAGAGCGTGGTTTCGATCCCCGACTGCGTCATACCAAAGGACATTAAAATATGGTCCCTGCCTGGCGCTCGGCATTAATGGGTACAACAAGGACTGGTCGGCTCGGAGTCAGTATAATGAGTCTGAGTGGGGTATTCATGCTTCACTGCAGCATGGTATCTCAGTGGGCTAGCACTATAAAAACCAGCTTCAGTCTGTGCTAGTACAAGCAGCTGCACATACACATACACACGCATGCACGTCGTCATATGAACGAAATATTCTCAAGCACGACGTTAAACCCAATTTCACCTCACCTCTAAGAATCATCATGAGATTTTATTGTCAATAGTGGTGTATCCTTAGCAATGGATATAAATCACATTTATAGTAAGTTTGACTAGGGCAGGGTTTTACCTCGGCTCACAAACATGGGGGTCCCGGACACCCCTAATTGTTAAGGTTAAGGGTCCTTGATCATGTGGACGGATGGGTGAAATGATGACAGTAACTGCTCTTAAAGAAACAACCAAACACTTAGTAAAGCCACAGATGTGTTGTGGGTACAATGAATGATATTGTGCATCCTTCTTGATGCAGTGAATTATTTTTCTGCGTCCATTTGCATGTCGCGTAAAAACCCTGCTAGGGTCATGAAGACTTATCACGCAGTACATAGGGAGGGTTTGTAGGGAGGAGATTTTAACGGAAAGTGTGGTGAAGGAAACAGAAAGGTTAATGTTGTGACTTTATCTTTGCGATCTTGTCACAAATTTTGATCATCGTTAATATGCTCAAAAGAGGAAGACACAGACTAACATTTAGTTTCTGAAATGAAAATATTTCTCTGTAAAACTGATCATTTTATAAGAAGCCCAAAGAATCCATATTTAAAAATTACACTGAAATTGTCTAGACTTGTAAAGTATTGCAGACATAACTTGGGAAGTTTCATTAATTCTCTTTCAGGGTTTGAGACAAGTAGTACGTTTAGGGTGGTCATTTTTATTTCAATGCAGTTATAAATCTTAAGCACGTCTCTTCTATATTGCCGCCATATAGCTGGAATATTGCTGAGTGCGGCGTAAAACTAAACTCACTCTTCTATATTGCCTATGCTGCGGCAAGGATGTTTTATCGTATATGACCGACTATAAGTCGGAAATTTGATACCAGAAAATGAAGGCAAAAAATCAGACCCGACTTATACTTGAGTTCATTAAACTACCCCAAAAAATCTCGAGGTCAGGTTTGTGAATCTGCCAGCCCCTGCGAACTCAACTGGCAATGTTTACACCGGAAGCAGGGCCTTATATCGCATTACTGACGTTTCCAAAGGTAAATGACATCGTGGGACAAATAAAACATAAAATATAAAACTTTGTTGTTTGTCTTTTGTAAAATATATTTCATAGTATAAACAATAAATTAAATTTAATCAGATATTTTTATCACAGCTATGCACTTACGGTACTTTGTTATCGTAGCGATAAAGTTGGGCCATTGACCGCGACTTGTTTCCACGTAAAGTAAACTTATTTGTATTCTGTGGCAGTTTTGTGTGGTGGTTTTGAAAAATACTGTTAATGATGAAAATGCAAGTTTACATTTATATCCAGATAAACCACGAAAGAAGCAAAAACTATAGCGATTTTTTTCCATTTGTGACATGTCATAAAATGCCCGTGACCTCTTCTTTTATATTTTCATTTTTACGTGATCAGAAAATTATTATAAAAAGATTTCTTAAATAATATGTATGGTCGCCTATTTCCCGATATCAGTGGCTTTTCGCTCGGTAACATGACACAACAACGGAAAATACCTCCGTTTTCGAAGCTTCGTATGAATAACATGCGAGGCGAATCGTTTGATGTCGGGCATCGTTCGAAAGCTCTGAACATCAACAATATCACTGTACCCTTGCCGAGAGTATTTTTCACACTTGTAAGAAGCAATTTTATTGGATAAAAATTGGTTTCTAATGACGCTTTTTCGCCACAGTCTGCTATAAGGGTCGTGATTGGTCAAAACCAGACATTGACCTAAGGCAGCCAATCATATTACGGCAATGGATACCGTCCTCGTGAAGCGGAAACTTTAGATGTAGAGCGAAAGTTTTGGGTAAAATAATGCTATTCTGAACATATTAAGCAAGAGAAATCGCTACCTATCACGTAAAATTATGGGATTTATTTGAAGTATCGTGCTAGGTTATGACCTGTGACAAAATGATTCATGCATATATTTTCGCATTAAACATCTTGTCCGAAAGCGTGAAGATTGAGGTGGGCGATACCGATTCGTATGGGGAAAGGGGCCGACTTATACTTGAGTTACATGGTTTTGGCAAGAATTTAGAGGGTTGAGAAAGGGGCCCGACTTATAGTGGGTCCTAACTTATAGTCGGTCATATCACGGTAGTCTGAACAAATCATTGTACGAACAGAAATGGATCAAATAGATGATAGATTAAAATGAGTTGAGAATGCATCATTCATAAATGCTAATATCCTCTTTTCGTGTTTGTCAAGTGAAAGATGAACTATATTTTAAACTGAAATAACATAGTAGACAGCAGCTGGCTTCTACAATGCTTTCAATTTTTTTTAATTATTGATTTTAATGGCCGCGTTTATTTGTATAAGGCAGATGTTGCATATTGTGAATCATCAGCATGTGGTCTCATTATTGGAAACCTACACATTCATTATGATATTATTAGTTGTAGTAATAACAGTAGTAGTATAAGTTAAGGTAATTGTACTTCATACATTTCAATCAACTGATCAGACAGTACCGAGTTTTTTTAAACAGCTTGTGAAGTTTGTTCATTTGATATATTTGAGGAAAAGAATCAAATTCAGTCAATATTTCACTGGTTAAGCTAAGGATCATGTAACTAATATTTTGTGTTTGCAAGCTTGAAGATGAGGCCTCCCTGGGTATTTTTTGTGTAGAATATTATTTACATGTCTGGTTGTCGACGTATCTGGATAAGCCAGCTTGTCAACATGAGTCAGGTGATTGTTCACATGACAGTGGCCTTGAACTTGTGTTTGGACCAAATATTGTTGAAGGTCAAGGTATCATGTGGAGAGTGTTACATACAAGATAATCATTTTGAAAGTATGCGAAATGTTCAGATTAGGTTCAGATTGTGATTTCAGATTAATATGATGTAGACTTTGGATGTTTATGTTTTTGTTTTTGCAAAATACCATTCAGGGACTAAAACATCTTCAAGGGGTTGTTTGGGACTTTTTCAAATGATAAACAAGGCTTTGACACAAATTCACAGGGATGGCAATTTTCCGCAGATCCGCGGATTTCCACGGTATTGTTGTAAATGTTAAAATTACATAGCATGTTTTTCTTTTTATCAAATTTTAATTGTCAAGTTACATCCTTGAAAACAATACAGGATGATGACTGGAAGTGAGAAGGAAATGAATACTTTCTCCAAGAAATGTTTGCTGTTAAAATCACTTTGTGTTTATATAAGTGAGATATTGCAATATTTTTAATGGTGTATGTTTGTTGAACTGCCTCATGTTCAGATGTTGAACTGTTATATACCTTCACATTTTCTGTTTATAGATAATGGCCCGTGTCTTGGATGGAAACCCTCCCCTACAGAGCCGTACAAGTGGATCAACTATGATGCTGTAGGTTGAATTGTCCATTCTGTGTCACCATGATGTTGTTATCTCCCACCGCGCGTTTAGCCCGAAGCGGGGGATATAGTAATAGGCTCCATCCGTCCGTCCGTACGGCTGTACGTACTAATTGGAATATCTTAAGAACCGTTCACTAGATTATTTTCATATTTGGTACTTAGGTTCATCACAGTATAAGAAAGGTCCAAGTCAGGTTTGGTGAACTTGACTTTCATTTCAAGGTCACAAGGGGATTTTATTATTATAGGATATTTATATAGCGCACATATCTAGGCAACTAGTGCATGCTCAAGGCTCTGGTATTTTTCCCTCGATCATTGGATGTCAATCTCAACGGCACATCGTATTATCAATCTCAACTCCCTGGGGAGTATACAGCTCTTGCAGCCACTAGCCGCACCGAGTTATTGTGGCTTTCTTATCCTAACGAGGTACCCATTCACAGCTGGGTGGACTGGGACACATAGTCACAGTACTTTGTACTTTTAACGTTTTACCTGCATGTTAAGCTATCTCAAGAACCGTTTTCTGGATTTTCTTCATATTCAATACCAAGCTTTATCTAGGGAAGGCGCAGGGCCCAGTCAATTTTGGTGACCTTCACTTAATTTTCAAGGTCATGGCAACACTTTGAAGATTTCAGCATATTAACCTGCATGTTATGCTTGTCAGCAAGATACCTCAAGAACCATTTACTGGATTTCTTCATATTTGACACCAAGCTTCATCCAGGGAAGGCGCAGGGCCCAGTCGATTTTGGTGACCTTCACTTAATTTTCAAGGTCACAGAGACACTTTGAAAATTTCAGCATGTCAAATTGCATGTTAAGATAGTCAGCAAGATATCACAAAAAATATTCAGTGGATTTTCTTCATATTTGACACCAAGCTTCATCTAGGGAAGGCCCAGGGCCCAGTCAATTTTGGTGACCTTCCCATAATTTTCAGGGTCGCAACAACACTTTGAAGATTTCAGCTTGTTAACTTGAATTTTCAGCAAGATATTTTAAGAATGGTTCACTGGATTTTCTTCATAGACTTTCAAAACTTCCCTTGATTGTTTTTCAATAAGCAATTTCTTTAGTACTATTTGTGCATATTTCATTCACTATGACATTCATGTCAAGGTCAAAGTCAGTCTTGAAAACAGGTGTGTGTGAACAACTAAAGAGCAAGATATCAAGAGAGGTTGACTGGTCATGTTTTTGTTGACATTTAACATCATCTTAAACTTTCATTACTTTATAGATCTAAGTTTGATTTGATAATTTGCGGCGGGGGATTATATCACCTTAGTGACAATGCTTGTTGTAATATTGCTTATAGCTGTGTAAATCCATACTCAGTGAGCATTGCTCAGACGAGGTCTATTTTGCATCTGTACATGTACACAACCCTTTCTTGACAACTTGGCTTGACATTACAGGTGTTGCAGCGAGCATCTAATTTAGGGGCAGGACTTATCAAGCTTGGCCTCACACCCACAAATACCACCAATGTTGGAATCTACTCCCAGAACAAACCAGAGGTAAGTCAAGTTTTCCTGTTTCTATAATAATGAATCATAAATGATGTAGTATTTCAGAAATGGTTACCGTTCATGCACTAGATTTGATTGATTGTTTTCTTCATATATAGGGGTTATACATTTCAGTGTGTGATATTATGTATGTTGTATATTTCAGTGTGTGATATTATGTATGTTGTATATTTCAGTGTGTGATATTATGAATGTTGTATATTTCAGTATGTGATATTATGTATGTTGTATATTTCAGTATGTGATATTATGTATGTTGTATATTTCAGTGTGTGATATTATGAATGTTGTATATTTCAGTGTGTGATATTATGTATGTTGTATATTTCAGTGTGTGATATTGTGTATGTTGTATATTTCAGTATGTGATATTGTGTATGTTGTATATTTCAGTGTGTGATATTATGTATGTTGTATATTTCAGTATGTGATATTGTGTATGTTGTATATTTCAGTGTGTGATATTATGTATGTTGTATATTTCAGTATGTGATATTGTGTATGTTGTATATTTCAGTGTGTGATATTATGTATGTTGTATATTTCAGTATGTGATATTATGTATGTTGTATATTTCAGTATGTGATATTGTGTATGTTGTATATTTCAGTGTGTGATATTATGTATGTTGTATATTTCAGTATGTGATATTATGTATGTTGTATATTTCAGTATGTGATATTATGTATGTTGTATATTTCAATATGTGATATTATGTATGTTGTACATTTCAGTATGTGATATTTGAGCAGGCCTGTTACACATACTCCATGGTGGGCGTGCCACTGTATGACACCCTGGGTGTCGAGGCCTGCAACTTCATCATCAACCAAGGTACTTCCTCCCTATCAGTGTTGCTTATTGAAAAGAAAAATGATTGATTTAAATCTGATCTAAATTGAATATTGCATAATTAATGTGCTTTAAACCCAATTCACTTATTCAAATTATGTTTGAACAAATTAAGTTCTGTCTTTCGCAACTGTAGAATTGTTTAAGTAATTTTGATTTTGTTCATTTCCATTTCAGCTGAAATAAGTGCAGTTATCTGTGATAATAACAAAAAAGTTAGCAACTTATTAGAACGATTTAGTGAAACGAAGAACATCCGGCACATCATCGTGATGGAGAAGCTGAGTGGTGAGATGCAGACCAAAGCATCCTCTCTGGGAGTCAAGCTTCATACGTGGGCAGAGATAGAGGTGAGGTGCTTTCTGCAGCCATCAGTCATTCCATGAAGATCCAGGGTAAAGTTTGTCTTCTTTAACACCTGCTTGTTTTAAGAGCTGACTAAGAGGATCAGGTGGTCAGGCTGTCTGTCTTGATTGAATCGTGTCATCATATCCCAATTGCATAGATTGATGCTCATGACGTCAATCACTGGCTTGTCTGATTCAGGTTCTCTTAGTAGCAGACTGCTGAGTGCTGAATTAAACAAACAGATCACTTCACTGGCTGTAACAATGAAACTCAATTTGACTTTTCATATCATATTATTGTGAAATTGAAGTCGTCTCAAGAATAAGATGTATGAGGACTTTGATATGAGATGATTTGATTCAAAATATGTTGTTTTGTTTTTGCAGAAATTGGGTCAAGATAACCCTCATCCACACAAGGTAGGTTTATCTGCACTTACTGGCACTTACTATTTTGAAAACCCAACAGGCAGCTTGACATTACCTTGACATTACCTCACATTATAATGCTGGTGTCATGATTGTAAGGTCAAGGTGAAGGTCACCTTTATGTATATGGTCACACCCTATGGTAGATCAGATAACCTTTAGAGTGCCTGATAAGATGGTGAAGCGTGCTAACATTATTCTGGGTCTTGCATCACTTATCGTGACAAATCAGTAGAGGGCCATTGAACATTGAGATAGCTATGGCTTATATTGACCTTTCTGACTGGTATTTTTATGGGACGAGTAGAGGAAAATGGAACTTGTGTCCACAGCCTCACAACTGAAGTATTTGATATTTAAATTTGAATGATTTCAGACTGTGTAAAATAAATCCACAGTGTTTTAATGAAATATGAAAGTCAAGTCTTTGTGAAATTGCTATTGTTAGAAGGAAAGTATTTTTTTTATTTCTAGTGTCAAATACTGAAGAAACAAAATGCAAAGATCCTCTGTCCTTCTTTACAATATTTCTAGCATTGCAGTACCCATGAAGATCCGGGTAAGAATTGGCCTTCAACAACCAATGCTTGTCATAAGAGGCGATCAGGTGGTCAGCCTCGCCTGACTTGGTTGGCTCAACATGTCATCGTATCCCAATTACGTAGATCGATGCTCATGCTGTTGATCACTGGATTGTCGCTGCCAGACTGGATTATTTACAGACCTCCGCCATATAGCTGGAATATTGCTGAGTGCGGCGTTAAACAACTAACAAACCAAATCTAGCGCTGCAGCCTTAACTGAATCAGGGCCTAGATTTTTGAAGCTCTCTTAGCGCTAAGATAGTTGTAAGTTAATGTTAATGTATGGCACTTACGACTATCTTAGCGCTAAGAGAGCTTCGAAAATCAAGGCCCTGGTGCTCTCATGTCACCCCAGTTTACTGTGTAGAGTTGTGTCCCTTAGGCCTGCCAGAGACCTATAACAAGGACTGGTTCTAAGACTTGCCCTGATTATGTTTCTAATAGTATCAGCACCATGCCATGCTAATAAAATTCACTAAAGCAATAGACATATAAGACCTGCCTCATTTAGGGCTTTCCTCAAGCTGACGCACCATGATTTTGCTGAAACTCACTTCCTTTAACTGAATGGTTTGAAAAGCCAATATCAGCTTCTTGTTCAAAATTAAGTTATCTGAATGTTGCCTGTTGATTCTAAGGAAGGATATAACAGTATCTGGATGAACAACTTCTTTAACTTGCTATAACGCTTGTTAGAGCTTACGTTTCGGTGTATCACTTACTTGATAACGATGTTGTTAGAACCTGCACTGAAATCACTCTCAGTTGTTCATCACAGCAATAAAGAAGTTGTTCATCCAGATACTGTTATATCCTTCCTTACTGACCCAACTTCTAAATGCCTCTCAAAGAATCTGTTGGTTCTAGTACAAAAATCTGTCTCTATCTGTTTTACAAAGACTTGGTTTTCAGGGGTTTCAGAGATTGGGGTAATATAATGAAGCACCACAACTAATTATCATCTCAATATTCAGTTAGCCTTGACAGGTTTCTGGGTTTTCTGTGCGGTAGTGACAAGGCCTGTGGTTATTGTAAATTCACTTGTTCCCTACAACCTATGTCGCGGCCATATAGCTGAAATATTGCTGAGTGTGGCGTTAAACAACAAACCAACCAACTACAAACTGTGCTTGTTGTACAATATGGCAATTGTTTGGTTTCACAGTGAATCAACAACCATCTTTAAACATCAGTTGGACAATTTTCATGCTTTCACATTCAAGTTGTTATTCACTGATAATTTCTACCCAGCATTACTGTAATAGTTGCTTAATAGACTTTAAATATTACTCAGATTTTCTAAAATTATGGTAAAAAAATTGGTTCTGTATATTTAGTTAGTGATAATTTGGGGGGGTCTAAGACATTTTTCTGTGGGAAAGTAGTGTACGTATTCAGAAGCCTAAAGCCTGTTATTGATGGGGATCGGATTGAAGAAAAACAACCCTCGCCTATAGACAGTGTTCTTCTGACCAGAATAGAATAATCAGTTATGTGTAACATACTACTTACATTTTGGATAAATATTAGGATTCAAACATGCTTTTTTTGCATCCCCCGACTCACAGTTATCTTTGGGGCGGTGGGGTAGCCTAGTGGTTAAAGCATTCACTCGTTACGTTGGGTTCAATTCCCCACATGGGTACAATGTGTTAGGCCATTTCTGGTGTCGTCACCGTGATATTGCTGGAATATTGCTAAATGCAGCGTAAAACCAAACTCACTCACAGTTCTATTTCTGTGTGTCAGGATATATAGAATCAGCACATATTTTCCTGATTGTTTCCAGATTAGTGGTAGTGACAGTGGATGTAGTCATGTACTTTGTCACATGGCCTGATGTCACATGGGTGGCTTGCGTGTGGAGTGATAAGCTTTATCAGTTGTAGGCCAAGGTATTTGTACGAGAAGACGGACAGTTGTGTACTTGATGTCTGTGTTGAGCAGTGCAGTGTTGTGAATAGCGTATACTTGTCTGTGATGAGAGCACTTACATGCATGTGACCACATTGAAAACAAGCAGCCTTTAGATCAGACACAGTGAAAGCGATCAAGTAGTGTTGACTGATTTTCAAATGATTCTGATAGAGAAGCATATTTTTTTAGGCTTAATTAATGAACTTTAATTTTTCATGAGACTTTCTCACATATCTTTCATGTAACTGACTGTCAATTTCACGTACAGTGGACTCTGGCAATATCGGCCTCTGTAAACACACTCTGTCACATCAGCACAAAGTTTCAGTCCCGGCAGAAATGCACTTAATTATCATTTAGAAACATCTGTAAACATCGGCATCTGTCTACTCAGGATATCGGCATTGTTTTTCAGTCCCAATGAACAAGTTGTTATGAAAACGAATCTGTAAAAAACGGCACATGAAGGACAGAGCAACCCTTTGATGCAATTAGGTCCAAATGATGTAACAACACAATTCGTGGTTACTCCCGAGATTATTCAGAAATGGGAAGTGTCAATCAGTTTCTTGTTAATTAGTGAGTGGTACGTGTCACTTACATAGAGTAATTAACTCTTTCAACACCAGTCAACCAGAGGCATTTACTGCCATGACACTGAGTTCCCAGAGACTCTAAGGTCATAGGGGGCGGTGGGGTAGCCTAGTGGTTAAAGCGTTGGCTCGTCATGCCGAAGACCCGGGTTCGAATCCCCACATGGGCACATTGTGTGAAGCCCATTTCTGGTGTCCCCCGCCGTGATATTGCTGGAATATTGCTAAAAAGCGGCATAATACCATACTCACTCACTCACTCTAAGTTCATAGATGAAGCCTATGTTTATGAAGAAAATCATTATAAAAAGATTTCTTAAATAATGTGTATGGTCGCCTATTTCCCGATACTAGTGACTTTCCGCCCAGTAACATGACACAACAACGGAAAATACCTCCGTTTTGAAGCTTGACCATTATGAATAACATGCGAGTCCAAGAATCGTTTGATGTCGGGGTATGTAAACTTTAGATTTCAAAGCTCTGAACATTGCTGTACCCTTGCCGAGTATTTTCACAGTTGTAAGAAGATTTTATTGGATAAAGATTTATAATTTGAATTCTGCCGATAATATATGATCAATTGAAATTTAATACGTGTTTTCACACATTTTCATTGGAATGAATAAACATGAATGTGTATTCAGACACTGCCTTGTTTCTTATTCAAACATGTTAATGCAAAAGTGACAGTACGACAGTGAACTTCATAAAGCGTCATAAGCGTCAGGCTGCCCTGTTAAGCGAACTTGCAACCTGCCTAAACCGGCACTGTGTCAAAACCGGCACTTTTATTTGGTCCCGAGTGATGCCGGTATTGACCGAGTACACTGTACACTAGAAAGCATGGGGTATAAGTGTCCCATTGTCCTCAGGCCCCTCATTTCGCTTGGCAAACTTATCCCCCATATTTATAAAATAGGTAGATAAGACACTGTTTTCCAAACCTAACTTTGTCCAACTCGCATCTGGGGCGGTGGGGTAGCCTAATGATTAAAGTGTCTGCTCATCATGCTGAAGACCTGGGTTCGATTCCCCACAAGGGTATAATGCATGAAGCCCATTTCTGGTGTCCCCCGTCGTGATATTGCTGGAATATTGCTAAAAATGGTGATGTCTGATGGGTCCAATCCAACTCAGTGCTCTTCTCGTAGTCTTGACACACAGAAAGTAAACTATAGATGATATGAGCTTGTTACAGTTTTATAATCCTTCCTTTGTTCAACCCTCATCTATGATCTGGTATTCTTCATTCCTCTAAGTCACCTCAATCTGTTGTTCAGAGTTTGCCTTCCCTAGGCGCTCCAGAAAATAATGATCACAGGTTCAAATCTTAAATTCATCCTGAATATGGTTTTGGTTTGTCTAAGGCCTGAATCTCCCACAGGAATGGGTCTCCAGACATAGTAAGAAACAAATTGACATTTAATTATTTCCAATTTTTAAGTTTTTTTTACTTTATTTTGTTTTCATTGCGAAAAGTTAAACCTTTTCTGAAAATGAATTAAAAGCACATATATATCCAGTGCAAAACACCAAAACTGTTGAATGTTCATCAAGAAACTTTATATTCAGTTCAGTGTTGTGGTTACCTGGTAATGATTTTCATTATGGAACTGAAGGTCTGAAATGGCAACAACCCGAAAGTGGGGTATAAGTAAGCAAACATCATTCCAAACTTGCATCAGAGCCGTCCATATGTCATCCTGTGATGACTCTTGTTTTATGTTTATCAGTAGGGGCGGTGGGGTAGCCTAGTGGTTAAAGCGTTGGCTCGTCACGCCGAAGACCCGGGTTCGATTCCCCACATGGGCACAATGTGTTAAGCCCATTTCTGGTGTCCCCCGCCGTGATATTGCTGGAATATTGCTAAAAGCGGCGTAAAACTAAACTCAGTCAGTCAGTTTATCAGTAGGTTGCACATCTAAGGAAGTAAAATTGATTGCTGTTCAACAAGTGACCTCTTTTTGCCACAAACCCTCCAGCAGATCTGTTAGAAATGCCATGGTGTATGTAAAAACATGGAATATGGCAAAAATGAAAATGAAATGGATTTGAAAAAGTTGTTTCCAATGAGTGTTAAACAATCTTAGAAATTGTATGGACAGGGCATTTTAAAAGCTGGATCGATCATGAGAGCAATTGATTTATTTTTACAAGACTAATGTGGACTTTTTGTATTGCAGCCTGCGACCCCAGATGACCTGTGCATCATATGTTACACCAGTGGAACAACAGGTCAGTCTTTCCTGCAAGAACAGAATTACAAGATATTTCTTTGTTTGGTGTACCTTATTATACAACATGATGTTAATTATTATAATAAGCATCGGGGCAATAATGGTCCTATAGGTATTCTGGGGCAGAATTGGTCCTCTGTGTCCATTTCTTATAATTAGGACATGTGGGGATATCAGGTCAAAATATTGGTATTGGTATGTGCTTGTCATAAAAGGATTGGGTGGTCAGGCTTGGTGGATTGGGTGGTCAGGCTTGGTGGATTGGGCGGTCAGACTTGGAGGATTGGGTGCTCAGGCTTGGTGGATTGGGTGCTCAGGCTTGGTGGTCACTCTTGGTGGATTGGGTGGTCACTCTTGGTGGATTGGGTGGTCAGGCTTTGTGGATTGGGTGGTCACTCTTGGAGGATAGGGTGGTCACTCTTGGAGGATAGGGTGGTCACTCTTGGAGGATTGGGTTGTCAGTCTTGGTGGATTGCTTGTCATTGTATCCTATTTACAGTGATGGAATTTTCAAGACAGAGACTGGATCAGGTTTGGAGATTTGGTTGAGTAAATCAGAATCAATTTCTGGATTGTGTGATTTAGACTGGATTATTTATAAGGTATAAGTCATGAAATAAGGACATTGTTGAGTGTGGTTAAAGCATTTGCTCATCACGCCAAAGACCGGAGTTTGTTCCCCACATGGGTACAACATGTGAAGCCCATTTCTGGTGTCCCCAGCGGTGATATTGCTGGAATATTGCTGAAAGCGGCGTAAAACTAAACTAACTCACTCACTCACTGCTGTAGGACAGCTTTGAATAATTATTGAACAATTTATTAAATTCATCAGACTAAATACTTAGAGATACATGTGTAATTTCAGGTCTCCCGAAGGGTGCAATGTTGACACACCGAGGTGTTGTGTCTATAGTGGTTGCTTGTGAAACGCAGCTGGTACGTATTAGTTGTAGCAAGTACAGAACAGAATTTTAAGAAATCTTGTGATATTTGAATGATGTATTTTGTCAATACTCTCAGCACCATGACTGACAACTGTATGTTTTATTTGTTTAGGAAGCGGCCGATTTGGTGATTCAGACAACGGATGTTTTGATCTCGTACTTGCCGTTAGCTCATTCCTATGAACGACTGTTAGAGGTGGGTTTTGTCATATAACCTGGTGAGGATGTTTTGTGCTACAGGTTTACTTGATTTCAACAAAGATTTATTTACATATATATACAGGGAGTTATAGGATGTAACAGCTTAGTGCTGTCATCCTCGTCTTTTTTCTTCACATCTATCAGGGCATTGGGGTGACCTAATGGTTAAAGTCACGCTGAAGACCAGGGTTCGATTCCCACATGGATACAATGTGTTAAGCCCATTTCTGGTTTCCCCTGCCATGATATTGCTTGAATATTGCTAAAAGCGGCGTAAAACTAAACTCATTCACTCTGAAGGTGCACAAGTATTCCATGTTAGGATCATCAATTTCCTGTGCAGAATTGCATTCCCTAGGCTCGCCAGGAACATTTGGTTGAAATCCTGCTGATTATGTTTCTTAGTTTGTAAGTCATGCACAAGGTTTTCACCAAAGTTTTCATTTTGGGCATTCCTCCTGCATCAAACTGACTTTTTTTTTTATACAACCTCAAATGCTTACGAACATCTATGTTTTTTATAAGGACACAATTATGTGCCCATCTTTCATACAGCTCTCGGTTCATCTGGAATATTTCACCAGGAACATTATGTCAGGGTAAAGGAGGTTGTAGAGGGTAATGTTGTTGACCATTTCTCCAGACAGGAAGTGTTGTCATGGTAACTTGTCCTTCCTTCCAGACCTATATCTACCTGCATGGCGCTAGAGTAGGCTTCTTCCAAGGGGATGTGAGGAAGCTGATGGATGACATCAAGGAGCTGCAGCCCACGGTCTTCCCCACAGTGCCAAGGCTGCTCAATAGGTTCTATGATAAGGTCTGTACCCTCTCAGTTGGTTCTATGATAAGGTATGTACCCTCTCAGTTGGTTCTATGATAAGGTTTGTACCCTCTCAGTTGGTAGTTTGACTCACTAGGTAAATGTACCCTTACTCAGTTGGTTTTATGATAAGGTTTGTAACATCTCAGTTGGTTCTACACCATGATAAGGTATGTACCCTCTTTGTACCATCTCAGTTATGGTTCTAGGATAAGGTATGTACCCTCTTGTACCCTCTTGTACCCTCTTGTCCCTCTCAGTTGGTTCTATGATAAGGTATGTACCCTCTTGTACCCTCTCAGTTGGTTCTATGATAAGGTATGTACCCTCTTGTACCCTCTCAATTGGTTCTATGATAAGGTATGTACCCTCTGTACCCTCTCAGTTGGTTCTATGATAAGGTATGTACCCTCTTGTACCCTCTCAGTTGGTTCTATGATAAGGTATGTACCCTCTTGTACCCTCTCAGTTGGTTCTATGATAAGGTATGTACCCTCTTGTACCTTCTCAGTTGGTTCTATGATAAGGTATGTACCCTCTTGTACCCTCTCTCAGTTGGTTCTATGATAAGGTATGTACCCTCTTGTACCCTCTCAGTTGGTTCTATGATAAGGTATGTACCCTCTTGTACCCCTCTCAGTTGGTTCTATGATAAGGTATGTACCCTCTTGTACCCTCTCTCAGTTGGTTCTATGATAAGGTATGTACCCTCTTGTACCCTCTCAGTTGGTTCTATGATAAGGTATGTACCCTCTTGTACCCCCTCTCATAAGGTTCTATATGATAAGGTATGTACCCTCTTGTACCCTCTCAGTTGGTTCTATGATAAGGTATGTACCCTCTTGTACCCTCTCAGTTGGTTCTATGATAAGGTATGTACCCTCTTGTACCCTCTCAGTTGGTTCTATGATAAGGTATGTACCCTCTTGTACCCTCTCAGTTGGTTCTATGATAAGGTATGTACCCTCTTGTACCCTTCTCAGTTGGTTCTATGATAAGGTTTGTACCATCTCAGTTGGTTCTATGATAAGGTATGTACCCTCTCAGTTGGTCTCAGTTGGTTCTATGATAAGGTATGTACCCTCTTGTACCCTCTCAGTTGGTTCTATGATAAGGTATGTACCCTCTTGTACCCTCTCAGTTGGTTCTATGATAAGGTATGTACCCTCTTGTACCCTCTCAATAGGTTCTATGATAAGGTATGTACCCTCTTGTACCCTCTCAGTTGGTTCTATGATAAGGTATGTACCCTCTTGTACCCTCTCAGTAGGTTCTATGATAAGGTATGTACCTTCTTGTACCCTCTCAATAGGTTCTATGATAAGGTATGTACCCTCTTGTACCCTCTCAGTAGGTTCTATGATGAGGTACATATCCCCGGTACATACCCACAGGTAGCTTCCAACAGGTTTTGTGTAAATCTCCCCAGGCGCCACTTCAATATGTTTTATGATAAAAAATATGTGCATATCCTCTCGTACACTCAAAAAAGGTTTTATGATGAAGCACATGTATATTTTCTGATACCCTCACTAGAGGTTCTGTGATAAGGTGTGAACCCTTGAGAATATTGATTACTAGGGGTGGGCAATAATACCGTTAACCGGTATATTGCATCGAACATCACAATACGATATATTGCGGTACACTTTTTTCGCGAACGGTTCTCCCGTTACAATCGGTAATTTTCGTCATGTAGTCAAAACTACTAATACCATTTATATTTCCTTGACATTATTATACATTAATAGTTTTGAGAATGTTTATTGGTCATATAATTGCATTTGCGTGACTTTTAAACCATTTAAATAAAAAGTAGATTGGTGCCAGCATCGTTGTAAGGATAAACAAACCAAAATGGCGGATGCCGCTGCAGAGTGACTGACGCTTTTCTCGAAGTTCCAAACTTTAGAGCGAAGTCTTTAATTTGGAAACATTTTCAATTGATCTCTTGTACAATCACATCTGAGTCCTGCCAGTGGCATCGTTTCAAAAGAAAGGAAACAGTAATTTCATTACCTTAACCCATGTGTTACACTTTCACAATATTGCAATACATATTCGCAATACATATGCAATATAATACGAAAATTTGGCAATGCCCAACCCTATTGATTACTCCAGTGTTGTGGAACATGCAACAAACAAAACCATGTATACTCAAGTTGAATGTTTCTGTCATGAAAATTTGTATGTTTGAAATGAGAAGAATCCAATTCCCATTATGATGTTTTAATTGCAGGTTATGTCAGGAGTTAACGCGAGTCCTGTCAAGAAGTTCCTGTTTAACATTGCTCTGGCAGAAAAGGAGAAGGAACTGAAAAGGTAACTTCTTTGAGCGCCATTTTAGAAGTTGGGAAGTACAATACAGACAAACTTACTCCTGCTTGACAACGGTACAAGAGTCTGTATCAAAATGTCGCACTCACAAAATAAAGAAGTTGTTATCCATAAAGTTTGTCTATATTGAACTGAGAAGGTGTCCATTTTACTTTTGTTTTGATCTGGGTCAGATGTATGGCCAAGTGGTCGAGTGTTGCGGTCTTGCGATGTTAGGATTGAGTAACCGAGTCCACCAGTCACAAGGGAGGGCCAGTATGCATGCACACTCACTTGAAGACAGGGTTGGCTTTGGAACTTCAATGTTCATTTGAGAATTGTGATAATCACTTCATTACCTGTGATGCTTGTACAAGGCACTAGCACCTGCACTGAAACATTTTAGTGTAAGAATAGAGTAGATGCTCGATTGGCATTTTAGAAGATGTTATTTGATGAACATAAAATTTTTCTGGATTTCATCTTCTTTTATTCTTTGATACAACATTTTGGGGGCTGATTTTTACCTGATGATGGGGCCAGAACAGGCCCCGAAAAGTTATATATCAAAGAATAAAAGAAGATGAAATCCAGAAAATTCTTTATGTTCAAGAATAGAGTAGTTGAAATCAATGTCAGCTTTACATAAACACTAAGTAATAGCATGGCTGTATGGTTGTGATCGTTTTCTACAGAAGAACTAGGCTATAATCCTGTAGTCATGGACCTATTAGTGAAAATGAGCCTACTGCAGCACCATGTCAGTCATATTAAACCACAGATTGCCTGATTCATCCTGCTGCCATGTTACATGTTCTTGCCTCGTGCTGTGACTGTCTGTGAGGAGGTTAGATTGGTGCAGGGGATCTGTCTTAATTTTGAAATAACAAAATGAGAAGCGAAGCCTTAAGGTCAGATGATGAACAAGTTTCTGCCTTGATCCAGAATGAGACAATACTCTTTTTTCAACATTGTTTAACCATAGCAGTAACTAGATCACCTTCCAGAAGAAAGTAATGTGACGTCTCAGACAAACATAACCAAATGCCAATATGCCTGCAATGCACCGAAACCCACAGACCTTATAGAACTGCCATCAGTATTTATTTTGTTCTAATCTAGTTATAACTTGTAATCTGTTCAGATTATTTTAAAACTGTAAAATGTAAAGTACCATTTTATACCCAATTATTTTAAGATATTTTCAAAGAAACCAAGCTATTATGATGTGATGATATTTTCTCTCCTACATCAGCCCTGTCTTCTGTGATACTACAGCTTCTACACTCTACTCATAGATAAAATACTTGATATTTTTAGTATGGATTCAATTTGTGGAAATTTTCCTGATGTCCAACTGTAGATGTTGTGTCTGTCTCTGTGGACAACCACTGATCCTTACAGGGATATCAGTAATAAGGCATTATATATGTGGTTTTTATTGTATTTTGGGGCCTACCTAACATTGATTCACAAAATAGTCTGTTAAACCGAGGAAAAAGTCTGCTTTAGATTGAGAAAATAATGAAATGCAGATGGTCATTATGGCATGTTCTTGTGTTACAGAGGTGTAATCCGGAAGTCGAGTATTTGTGTTACAGAGGTGGAGTATCTGGGATACGTTGATGTTCCGGAAGGTCCAGGAAGCACTTGGGGGCAAGGTCAAACTCATTGTCACAGGCTCAGCGCCATTGTCCGCTAAAGTCCTTGGCTTTCTCAGATGTTGTGTTGGGTGCCCGGTAAGCTCCTATGAAAATGTTGTTCCTGTAACACTGAATTGCAACCAGGGTAGTTTTTTAAAAACGTTTTGGGGTCGTAACATATGTTATATTTGGGATTACACTTTCTTAGTAAAGTACAGATTCTAGTACTTTTGTTGGGTTTCTAAATGGCATTGTGTATTCACAGCTTTCGGCCTTGGGAGTTGTGCCAATCTAGACTAACAGTTGACCGACTTCCATATTTGTGGAAGCCTCAGTGGCTGACTGGGTTAAGCATCTAACTCTGTGTGCTGGCGATTAGGTGCCTGATTCTGGGGGTGTGGGTTCAAATCCTGGATGGGGCTCAACTGTGTGATGCTGTTGAAACTGAAATGGCTTTTGTGGGACAAAACTTGAAATTTTAGAATGTCTCACAAATGTGTCCCATAATAACATTAAACCAATTTATGACACGAGTATTAGCATTTCTATGGGTTATTTGAGTGCATGAGTAGAGGAGGATGTCATGTCGGTGTGTATGTTGTTTCAGATCTTGGAGGGCTATGGGCAGACAGAATGTTCAGCTATTGCGACGTTACAGATAGTAGGCGATCATCTCACAGGTAGGACGGGGATACTTAACATCATTTCCTTATTTTGCCATTGAGTAAAGTCAATTTAAGTACCCTTAAGTCTTAAGTTGCAGTGTTCCAGTCTAATGAGTATCATCACGATATGGCTGCAATATTGCTGATGTGACGTTAAATATTAACTCACTCTCTCACTCTAATGAGTACTTTGAAAAGTATATTCACCAAAATTCCTGAGTTATATTCCTCCTTGGTACTACAGTGAATCACCTGTGAAGATCTAAGTAGAAATTAAATTTCAGTAACCCATACTTGTAAGAGGTGACCAACGGGATCCTGTGGTTAGGCTTTGTGACTTTTAATGCATACCATTATTTCCCAGTTGTGTAGATAGGTGCTCATTATGTCAATCACTCTTGTCCAACACTCAAGCATCATAATGCTAGAATATTGCAGCACAACAAAACATAAGTTTTTTTTGTAGAAAGGACATGGCTAAACCTATTTCTGCTGTCCGCTAAAAGCTGTTTAAAACCAAACCTATTCACTGTTATTAAACAGATATATCTTAAATTATGAAACTAGGGTTTGTACATGGTAGTAAACTATCTGTCCACTCACAGGTAATGTCGGACCTCCACTGGTGTGCAACCAGATCAAACTGACAGATGTTGCTGAAATGGAATACTACTCGGGCAGCAACAAAGGGGAGGTAAGTCATGCCTTGTTGGAACTTAATACTTTACCACAATAATTCAGTGTTTAGACCAACAGTTGGAATGTACAAACACTGTTGTGTCGAAGCTGAAGTTATTTACGGTACTCAAAATTTTTGAGTGTTTTCAGGTTTGACATAAAAAACATAAAAATAAGGAAATAATACAAAGGTATCAAGCTTATATTTTGGAAACAACGAAAGTTCTACACATCAAAATTCTACAGACAGTGACTATATGTCACAGAAATTTAAACATTTTCCATTTCAGCTGGAAATAACCATTTGCTTAAAAATGGAAATGTAATTTTACTAAAACTTATAGAACCTCACTGAACCTACCATGTTTCTCTACAGTTAAAATAGATCCCCTGGTCTCTGTGACTTGATTGACAGCATGTTATCCTGGTCACAATGATTGGTTTGTAAGGTCCAGAGACAGTTATTTTTAGGCTATCGTCATGTACAGTGGAAGCCCTCTAAACCCGGCCTTTGTTGGGACCGGCAAAAAATGCTGGTACAGAGGGCATGCTGTTTAGACAACTTTTCCCTTTTCAACCTGAGAATGATCTTCTGTGTGCCGTAGAATACGACTGAACAACGTGTTGATTGTCATCATATTCTTTATTCATCAAGATAACATCAGATAAATACAACACAAATGTACATGTTCAGTGCAGCTTTTATTTACGTTATAATTCATGAAGCGAAAAAGTCAGTAAGTTTAGCTTGCTGTTTCTTCGATCTCGTCGTGTCGAAATACGGAATAGACTGACGCCAGAATAGAGGGCGTGTAAATGATCATAAATTAACTAGCTTCTGCCAGGACCAAATTCTAGTGCCGATATTGAGAGCATGCCGGATTGGAGGGCTGCTGGTTTTGAGAGCTTCCACTGTATGTGGAATATTGCTTAAAGTGGTATTACACAACAAACAAGGAAACAAGCTACTAATATACCACTCAAAAGAAGTTAGGGACCACTCGATCCTTTCTTATTACTATCATGCCATTAGTGCTGGTATTGGCATACAGCCTGCGATACAGTACATCAGGATACTGAAATTTTAGTCATGACGATATATATTGCCTAAGTATCGTGCACTGAAGCTGCAGTGCGATACGAAGCCCGATACAAGGGTGGCGATACGATACCTATCACGATACTAAATTCTTTAATTCTAGCACCAACTATAAAACACCTTGGGGCGGTGGGGAAGCCTAGTGGTTAAAGCGTTTGCTCGTCACGCCAAAGACTCGGGTTCAATTCCCCACATGGGTGTAATGTGTGAAGCCCATTTCTGGTGTCCCCCCGCCGTGGTGTTGCTGGAATATTGCTAAAAGCAGCGTAAAACTCCCTCACTCACTATAAAACACCTTAAGATCAAAACAAAACCGTTTTAAAGTATTTCGTCAAATTGCGTCAGCGTTTTTCAATGTTTATTCGGAAATGAGATAATTAAATTTATACACGGACTTTGTGAATGTTAATAAAATGATAGCGCTATGTTTGACACAGTTCCTGATGCAAGAATTTCCGAGAAACTTATGAAGGGAAAATATGTATGCATACATTTTAATCATCAAACAAAAGTTAGTCTTTCTTGACAGATATCGCGATTCGGCAATATTCAAAGTAAAACATCGATGTATCGTGGCCCATTTTAAGTATCGTATCGGAATTTATGACAGTGTAAAACTTTGTACCGATTCACTGTATCGCCGGCCCATGGATCGATGCATCAATGTGTATCAATGAATCGTCACACCACTACATGACATTGCAGATTAACTATAATCTGAAGGAACTTGGAGGTCCTTAATCTCTTTTGAGAAGTATATTTATCACCTGTTTGAAAGCAGGGGCAAATGAAATTTCTTGTGACTAAATAAGCTCATTGAAAATGCTAAGCGACAAGTTCAGGATGATAAACTCAAATGTTTTTGGTGCAGAGAAATATCGTCATTATATTATTAGCATCCCTTTAACAAACTTCTGATGATGCCATGGCACAGATGTATGCTGTTTATGAAACACTTCAAGTGAACACATCACTTCCAGGTTTGCATCCGAGGCCCCAATGTATTCCGAGGCTATCTGAAAGATCCAACAAAGACCAGTGATGCCCTGGACAAAGAAGGCTGGCTGCACACCGGGGACATTGGAGAGTGGCTGCCTGTGAGTAGATCATGGTGTTTGGCTTGACCTTTTTGGTATTATGATGATAACCTACTTCTTATGTGGTCTGGTTCGGTAGCCTATTTATATGTACCAGTTTTTGGCATGATCAAGCATATGATGGCTAAAATAAGTCACTGTGTGTGTTTTTGATATTATGTGTACATATATTTCAACACCTGTAGTTTGTTCGTCACGCCGAAGACCAGGGTTTGATTCCCCACGTGGTTACAATGTGTAAAGCCCATTTCTGGTGTCCCCACCCGTGATATTGCTGGAATATTGCTGAAAGCGGCGTAAAACTGAACTCACACTCACTCAACACCTGTAGCATATCTCTGGTCCTCGTGTCTAGATGACTTAGTTTCATTGTACCCTGACTGGTGGGTCACTGGATTCTTCAGCCAAGATTGATTACAAGCTGTGGAAGTGTCTTTAAATAACAGAGTTATCAATTTTGTGTCTGTTTAAAGAATTGCTATGAGAATTATTCTTGTTCAAAACATCACGAGAGGACAGTAATAGTCACACTGTGGTTGTTGTTTTTTTCAGAACGGAGCATTGAAAATCATCGACAGGAAGAAACATATTTTCAAACTAGCTCAGGTAGGTAGGATTCAGTTCATCCATCAATGTAAACCCAATTTCACCTCACCTCACCTCACCTCACCTCACCTCACCTCACCTCACCTCACCTCACCTCACCTCATCCAACAATGTATGTAAAATATATATAAATTATACACAGTTCCCAGAAATATATCTAGCATTGAGTTACTTTTAACATTAGTGTAAATATTACCCAGAGGAAAAGAAAAAAAATCATAATTTATTTAACATTCATAATTGGACCTGTGCAAATACCGAAGATCAGAAACCTTCGATCATGGATTGGAATCTCAGTGTGCGCACCTCGCACCCCCTCTGGATCCGCCTATGCTGTATCATCATGTACTGTAGACGTGTGCTGAAACTACATCATCATGCCATTTGTTTCTGTTTCAGGGAGAATACATTGCTCCAGAGAAGATTGAAAATGTTTACATTCGTTGTTCATTAGTTGCACAAGTCTTCGTCCATGGAGACAGTTTACAGGTGTGTATTCACTTCAGTCTCCAGCTTTTCATACTAGGTGGCAACACGAGTTGCCCTCTCGTTTACAGCGCTGCCATAATTCACTGTGCGGAGTTGCATCCCTTTGTCATGACAGAATCCTATAAATGTGGATTTGAATCTCAGATTCAATCTGATTATTTATGTTGTTTTTTCCTCACCATGGCAATGCTTGTCCATTATTTGATGATGGAAAAAATCTAGTGAAAATACCTTGGTATAGTCAAAACATGAGAGAGATTTTATAACTTTGTTCCTGGTATTTCCAAAATATTCACTGCCTTATGTTTTCAGTCGTGTCTTGTGGGCGTCGTGGTGCCAGACCCCGACATGCTGCCCAAGTATGCAGCAGACAAGCTGAAGCTCCGACAGCCTATCCAAGACCTGGCCAGGAATTCTGTAAGTATTGGATACTCAGGGTTCGCACGGGCATGAAAATCCAGAAATTTGGACATTTAACCATAAAAATGACCTAAGTTCAGTTTAGCTTTGAAAAGGCCATAATTGCCAGTTATTTGCCCTAAAAAGGCCCTATATTTAGCAAAACTTGTCAAGTTATGATTTTACATTAAACTGCTGGTAAACAAGAATAAGTTGGACTGGCGCAGAGAACGTTTTTACGAGAAGTAGGTGGTGCACGGCAGTGAGCAAACCCATTTGGTTTGTGAAAGGTTGAGCAGATGTCGGCTAGTGTACGTGTATTGCATGACCATGAAATTGATTCCGCTCGTAGCTGCACACGCCTTGCTCATAAGACTCTCACGTCGGTGTCGCAAGTCGCACTACACTTGATCGCGGACAACCTGGAGCCCCTTCGCTAACAATGGCAAGCGCCATCGGGCTGCAGTCATACATGCTAATTAGGGGCAGTTGTCAGGTCGGTGCTCAACTTATCCTTGTTTGCCAGTAATACATAATAAAAACACCTTGCAATGACAGTGGGTGTTTATTAGTCTCCATTGCCAAGCAAAACTTTCCCTTCATATTTTGCTGAAATGTGTTTTATTGTGACTGATGTCTGCTTGACATCATTGATCTGTGTTATGTACATGTTGTTTGTGACCGCCTCCGTGGTGTAGTTGTTAGAGCGTCCAACCAGAGAGCGGAAGGTCGCGGGTTCGATCCCCGACCGCGTCATACCAAAAAGACGTTAAAATATGGTACTTGTTGGTCCCTGCCTGGCGCTCGGCATTAATGGTTACAACAAGGACTGGTCGGCTCGGAGTCAGTATAATGTGTCTGAGTGGGGTATTCATGCTTCACTGTGGCATGGTATCTCAGTGGGCTAGCACTATAAAACCAGCTTCAGTCTGGGCTAGTACAAGCAGCCGCACATACACGTACACATGCATGCACGTCGTCATATGAGCGAAATATTCTCAAGCACGACATAAAATCCAATTTCACCTCACCTCACCTCACATGTTGTTTGTATTGTGAGATATCGCTGATGGTCCCCTTGTTCTGTCTACAGGAGGTGAAGAAGGTGATTTTGGCTGACCTGGTGGAAGTGGGGAAGAAAGCAGGGCTCTCCTCCCTGGAACAGGTTAGTGCTCCACTGATTTGTTGGTAGGGTGTGGGGACCTTGGATTAGGGTGGAGACGGTATCTTTTCAGCTCAAGCTGTAAAATCAGATATTATGTATATTTACACAGAGCCTAATCAAATTTTGAAAAACATCCAACAATACAGCTTGGGGGGGGGGGGGAAACAAGCCTAATATTTTTTCCAGGTGTTTTGGGATGAATATATTTTTTACTGAAACCTTACTGCATACATGCGGTCACACAAATATTTTTATTTTTCATGAAAATATTTAGGTTTGTTTGAAGAAATGAATCAATATTCTGAATTGTCAGCATGGTTTCATTTCCAACAAACGCGGTCATTGGGTACATGTTCTGTTGTTCCAGGTGAAGGACATCTACGTGTATCCCGAGATGTTTTCAGTAGAGAATGGTTTGCTCACTCCCACATTCAAAGCCAAGAGGCAGGAGCTGAAGCGGTACTTCGACTCCCAGATCAATGCGATGTACTCCAAGTTATCCTGAGAAAAACAATCAAACTCATCCATTCCGTTTATGAACAGCCACACTGACATAACATGACAAAATTATTGTGTGATACACACGCTTGATGAAGATGACCACAGACGATGGACAGAGATGAGGCGCCAGGAAGATACCCACTTGAAGACCTGTCATTTGATATTATTTGCACGTTTGAAATGGTTCTCTTGATATTATGCTTTCAAAATTTGATCAAAGTTTGAGTTTATGGCAGGGTTATTCTGGGGGCTTGTAGCAGGGTGTATTTTGAAGTTTTCACCGTGAGCGTATAGAAGAAGTATCCAAGCTAGCTTCACACCCTTTGGCTGGATTATGACATTGTGTTGTAACCATGGTAACCCATGTGGTAGCATGGTCTAGCTTGTTATCATGGTAGCCATGACCATGGTTACAGTGGTAACAAAGGAGTCCTTGTAACAGAAGAAAGGAGGATGAAGATTGGGATTTCATTTTGAGTCAATCACAACTGAAGTGTTTGTAAAATTTGCATTGTAATTCAAGTCATGCTCAATGTTAGATTCCTTCAGCATGGCATTATTCAACTAAAAATTTTATTGCATCATATTAACAGAATTTATCCTTAGGAATTTAACATCTGTATATTTTCCTGCCCACACATATATCGTCGTAATGCAAGACTGTGACGTCATTCTTTAGTCTTGTCATGCTATTCCATTGTTAGCTGTTACCAACATGAAAATATTCTAATTTATTGACCAAGCTGGTTAATGAGGTGTGTGAGATGAGTGACAGAGTGACATTGCTAGCGTGCCTGTGCTGTGGTGTGAACTTCACATCTAGACCAACCTTTTGCTGAGCAAAGTATCAATCTCATTCAAATCAGATCTTTTATTCCCGATATGATACCTCTGTGCTTAAAAATCTGACAGACCCTCCATAAGATTCATCAGAGAAGTTTGACCGCCCAGTTTAAATCCGGCTCTTGAGACAATCAAATGTCACCTTTCTAGACCAGTTTAAGAGGTGGTGGGGTAGCCTAGTGGTTAAAGCGTTCGCTTGTCACACAGAAGGCCCAGGTTTGATTCCCCACATGGGTACAATGTGTGAAGCCCATTTCTGGTGTCGCCCGTTCTGATATTGCTGAAATTGCTAAAAGGGAGGTTATACAATTATCGAGCAGAGCCTTAGATGAATCCAGGGTACTAGTGGAGATTATCGGAACATATACCCTGGAGATTACGGAGGATGGTTCCTATGGAGAGTTGGTCAGAGCTTCATATTGCTAGGTATATATTGAAGTAAAAGATCTGACTTTAATCGAGTTAAACATGAGCTGGCCTTAAACCAGCTGAATCAGCAGTTTAATAAAACCTATCAATTTCTAAACTCTTCTTCAAGATATCCTTATCCAGTAGCCGTTTCTGCATCTTCAGGGATCTGTGGGGTAGCCTGGTGGTTAAAGCGTTCACTCGTCACGCCGAAAACCTGGATTCCATTCCATACATGGGTACAATATGTGAAGCCCATTTAGGGTGTCCCCTGCCGTGATATTGCTGGAATATTGCTAAAAACAGCATAAAACTAAATTCACTCACTGCATCTTGCATGGCAAGGGTTTTTTCCTATTGTACCATTTGTACATAGAATTACATCAAAACATGAATTGTCCAATGCTGATGTTTACATGCAAATCAAATACTTTCTAATATTTTTGATTAAAGAAAAAATGCAAGCTATCACATTTTCCTCCTTATATCATGATACTGCAGTTAATTTGCACATTTGTACATATCTTATATAATTCCATAACAGTGTACATTAGTATATGTTCGTGGCAGTTGTGAAGGAGCTTACTAATTTGAGCTGTAGGCTTTCATTAGTGTTTTGATGTCTAATGGCCGCACAAAACTGAAGCAGCATGTCAGCATAAAACAATGTGGCAGTGTTCTTTCATTACAAACTTAATTAATGCAGTGTGTAGACATTAACATTTTTCACTCACTCTAAAGTGAGTTTATTTCTTTGCTTTATGCTCTATAGCGTCAGGAACAAAGTAACTTCACGAAGACCGTATCTTTGTTTTACTTCCACCTTTCCCATTAGATACGCGAGGCAGGGAGGTAGCCTTGTGGTTAAAGCATTTGCCTGTCACACCGAAGAACCCAGGTTTAAATCTCTACATGAGTACAATATGTGAACCCCATTTCTGGTGTCCCCACCATACTGGTAGAATATTTAATTTAAAAGCGATGAAAACAATTACTTGCTCACTCGTTCTGCTTTCTTCTCTCGTCTTCTTTCTTCTCTTATAAACTAAGCACCTTTTCTGGCAAGGGCCTCAGTAGTACTGCTGTAAATCTATTCAGGGTGGTGAGGTTAGCTTTTGGTTAAAGCGTACACTAGTCACACCAGAGGCCCATTTGTTTTGTAAATGATTATGTTAGGAGCTCATTTTTAGTGTTCCCCTCCCTTCCCAACATTGTATAGCTGGAATGTGGCTCAAAACTAGTAAGGACATACTCACCCAAATATTCTTCCTACAATTCTGTGGCTTGTCACGCCGAAGACCCGAGTTCGATTCCCCACATGGGCACAATGTGTGAAGCCCATTTCTGGTGTCCCCCACCGTGATATTACTGGAATATTGCTAAAAGCAGCGTTAAGCCATACTCACTCATTCTCTCCTACAATTCTCATGCACTGCCTGAATGTTGGTTTTGAAAAGACGTGCTGTTTCATTGTGTGCTGGCCTTAGGAGTCCATAATGTGTTTTGTTTTATATTCTAGCATATACAGATGATATATCATTTCAGTATACATGCATGCACCACATGAACACAACTTGTCTAGTCTATAGTTAATTTGGAATTTAATATTCAGACCAACAGGTTCGTCTCAGACGTTACAATGCATCTAAATTAGATTATCCAGCCTCATGTAAGAATGTCGAGTTTTGATTGGTTCACGTGACTCTGATAAAATACCATGTACACCCGTCACGATCCGCGAGCAGGGAGTACAAAAGTCATATCCCGCCACGCCTCAGTGACCACGCGAAGTGAGAAAAGCGTGCATCGCCAAGCCTTTAGTAACGTGCGCTGCATTGAGGTCAATCGATCAGCTGGTGTCAACATGGCAGCAAGGAAACGTTTTGCCACAACAACTGAGAATTTTGTTTTGTTTTCTTTTGATTTAGTAAAAGTATTCGGCTAGATAAATGCTTAATCACATCGTGTCGAGGGAAATACAGGGTTTTATCAGTCCCTCGTAAGGTTGTATTCCCTGAGCTGAAACAAGGGGAATACAACCTTACGACGGACTGATAAAACCCTGTATTTCCCTCGACACGATGTGATAACTTATATTACATCGAATGTGAATAGCAGAAAGAAACAAACTGTGTCTTGGTACACTTTAATACTGTCCATATATTATTTGAAATAGCACCGTTTGCTTGCACGTTTTGACACAATAACCTTTTATTTTTAGAATTGGTTGTATTATGTTCTGGAAAATTGTACACATTGTTTGACGTATGATCTAGTCTTGTCCAAAACCTGGAGGGAAGAAGCCTTACTTACGTGTTGTCTGAACTGTCGAGAAGACAGGATGTATGTTATTATTGATTTACTCGAGTCAAAACATGAAAAACCACGGATTCCACTTGCAGCAACTTCGACACACATTGCTCAACGGGGATTTTCCAATGTGCTGTTGGATGTGTATCAACAGATGAGAAGGAGACATCAGAAGGCTACAACTGTTTTGGGATGTTTTTGTTGAATTTCCTCAGGGTTGCAACAAGGATGCTTCCACGGATATGTTGATAATGAGTTCTGTGGTGCCAACTGTAAAGTGTTGAACCTACTTCAGGTCTGTAGACAGCTATGGCCACATTGAAGATGTTTAGCAATCACCCCCTCGTGTTGTAGTGAACACTGTTCACTTGAAGAATGTACCAATTGTTGGTAAATGGGTGTAATATTCTGTGTTTGATGTAGTAGTGATTTGATGGTTGGGGAGAGTCTTGGATGAGAACGGTGAGTCTGACAGTATTACATCTTGCATCAGAAAGATCCAACACGAGGGGTGGATTTAAACATACAAGCTCCGCCATCTCGGGAACAGCCTGCAAATTTACACCTAAATCTTGTATTAGCAAGTTAGTGTTTCCTCAGCTGTTTATAAATATATGCAGAGGTTGTCAAAATGCAGTTGAAGTGCTTTTTTGTTGTTGAAATTGTTCATTTGCTTATTGAACTTTACATGTTGTTACGTTGCATTGTGTTGGAGTGAGTAGTTAGGTGTGGAGAGAGGCGTGTGTGCCCGACTTCAGCCATGTTCAGTTCGAGATACAAGTCATCACAACAGTTTTTTCACACGTCTTATTCTAAAATATGTCAGTTTTATGAAATAAAAGTATGGCGTATCAACTCGACCATTATGTAATGTGAGTTGCTAGTCATCTATTCCTATCCATGAGATCTGGTTTTGTTTTTTCTTTTGGGTGGGGTAGCCTAGTGGTTAGAACGTTCGCTTGTCATGCCAAAGACCCGGGTTTGATTCCCCGCATGGGTACAGCGTGTGAAGCCCATTTCTTGTGTCCCACGCTCTGATATTACTGGAATATTGCTAAAAGCGGTGTAAAACTCAACTCACTCACAGAGCTCCAGATAAGATTTAGCTCATGTGGGTACTGTACCCACTGTATTTTTTTGGAGTGGGTATTATGAATGTTGAGTGGGTATTTCATTTTCCGTTACGCACATATTTGAAAGCAGTGGGTATTTCAGTCATTTTACTCACTTAAGTATTATGTCATTGAGTAAGTTTACTCAGCAGGTATGTTCTGCCTTATGTCATAACTAATTAAAACCAACTTAAATATAATGGAAATGACAGTACAACACTAGTTCTATACTAACAGTACAACTTGATAGCAATCGATGTCTTTTTCATTACACAAGCTATTTTTATAAATATATTCCGTACGCATTTGTTTTAAACTGTTTGCGTATCTAACATTTTAAATGCGTAATTGGTACGCAACAATTATTTTTCAATGCGTAATTGGAAATTTTCTATGCGTATTTTACCCGGATACGCAACTTATCTGGGCCTCTGCACTCACTCTCCTGGGTGGGTGTTACCATGCAGAGTTACATACCTTAGCTGCCAGGATTTGATGGTCATGGATACGAATCATCCTGTGATTTGGATTGTTCCTGTGTAGAGGGATTTCATGTTGTAAACATGGTCTCAGTAAAAACAGCTCAGGCTATATTATGTAACTAAATACAGAAATTAAACATGATAGTCTGAATGCTTCACTTGCTGGTACCAAGGATCAGAAGCGTCCACTCTGAATGGCTGATCTGAAAGTTCATCTGACGTTTGCCTCCTCAGATCTTGATGGAGAGAGGTATCAAATCGAAGAAAAAGATTCAAATGAGATTGGCTTACACATTGACCATAAATGTTTCAAAATTAGAACTGCTCAAACCATGCATATAAAAGCTACTGTGTAGGTACAGGGTCACAGAGAATAGTTTTAGACATGATATAGAAAAACAGAGTGAGTGAGTTGGGTTTTACACCGCTTTTAGCAATATCACGGCAGGGCCACCAGAAATGGGTTTCACACATTGTACCCATGTGAGGAATAGAACTCGGGCCTTCGGTGTGACAAGCGAATGCATTAACCACTAGGCTACCCCGCTACCTCACCACCCCATAGAAAAACAGAAGTCTGAGACATGTCACATTGTTTTTTATTAAATGCAGTATTATCCTACCTGGCAACATATAGCTGATTAATGGCATTGTATTTTTGTGAACAAAGTTTTGCAGAATTAAACTCCTGCAAATGACAATTCCTGGTCGGACCACACGCATACATTTCTGCAACTTTAAGAGTGAGAAATCATTGCTATGTAGGACTTGACCAGAAACCCTAACGAGTATAGTCCATGTTCATCAGAAGCTGAGAAATCCTGCCATCTCAGATGAAAGCTTAAAAACATTAAAACCCCTCCAGCCACTCAAGACATATTTCACTCTCACTGTCAACATGTTAGTATGGTCCATTTCCCGAACTAACTTCACCTTACAAAATGCTGGAAACTTCATTGGAAAACAGTCATTTTATAATAGTCCTTGCTTGTACAACCCTGCATACTGAAATGCACTTTGATAAATGTTAAATATTATTTAAATATGTAAAAATATTTTCACTGAAGCTCTTCAATACAAACAAAATTTCCAAAAATTTATAGAAACATTCAATGAATTCCATAGCCATTGACAATACAAAAGAGAAAATTCTTTGGATATATTGAAGCTTTTATAACATTTTCATCCCACAGCCTCCACCAAAGATTTTTCTCACCAGCCCCAAATCTGGATAAATGTGATTCTACATATATTAGTACCATAATTATGTAGCATTGAGACACCTTCCTTTGCACCTCACATGTAAAGAGTTACCAAAGGGAAATAACTCTACAACATGTAATATAGCACCATGCGACACAAAACCTCCATTCAGGAACAGAGGAGTCTTAAGTAACCAAGGATACCTTTCTGTTATTGATAAATGTTCACACAAAATAAACAGTACACGTTGTATGTGTCACCAGAGCTTTTAACATTTTAACAAGCTCTGTTACAATCGATTTATACCTTGTTTAGACCATGACTAATGGTTAACAGTTAGGAGATAATCTGTGCTAGCCATGACACCTTTTATTGTTTCACCTGTCTCACAAGTGACCCCCATTCTACTAATAGAATTTTGAACAAACAGTGCCTTCTTGGTACTCACTGAAACCTTTAAAAAACATCAATGTCACAAGTCTCAAAACCAACTGTGCAATTTCTACAACAGTCTATACAAACTTATTAAATGAAACCAAAGCAATTTTTTTCATTCACTTACACCAAACTGATAATGTTTCTTTCTAAGATTATACTTGTGGTCAAAATTAATCTTTATATCCGACCTGGCTTCAAGAACAAGACTTCTGCACATGGTGGAATTAATGGATCACAGGTGTACGAGAAAGGATGGAGACGGCACAGTACAGGTTAATGAATCAATAACTTGTGCACGTGCTTCTCGAACACCTGGCTGTCCCTTTCTCTGCACTCCTCCCTCGTAACATATAATGAACTGTGTCAACATTTTAATGATAGTTTGTTAAACAACTTTTTTAATTTTAGGACATATATTCTGCAAACAAATCACAGAGTTGGTCTGATGTTTTGATTATGATCAGCGTTTCATGGAGTATTATATGTTTATTATTTTTAGGTTGCAATTCATCGGTCTGCTTTTGAGCCAAACGGACTATAGTAAGGACATGTTCAATTCATGATTGTCTTAAGAATTATTGAACTCCATCCTCGATCGTCCAGGGCGTAAAGTATCCAATCATTACGATATGCACCCTCGACTGATGTCCTACTAATGCCTCATTTCAAGTCCTGTTTGATTGTGGATGCCAAAACACAATTTAAAGAATGTAATTATATGTCTTGCATAAAAATAAACCACCCCATCTTCATATTCGAGAAAAAATCTATCTGAAAGTTGATTGATAAGTTTTTGGATAAGAAAATACTAAGGGTTCATTCAGACAAGGGTTTTAATATAGATCTATGCATTTTGATTTGTTCATGATTTTCAAACTCAGTTTTGTGCCAAGTTGGTGATGAGAGACCAAGATGGTGACACGTCTTCCCAAAACGCATGATGGTGACTGAACCAAGGGTAGAAAATAGATACGGAGGATAAACCAGGACGCTGAACTATGGTAGATGCTAGCGCAGAAGGTTTCACTGCGTAATGTTTCAGGACAAGCAGAGGACTGGCCAGTAGACATGACATGACGTACAGAATAATATCTCGATGTTGGTGATGCAAGAACAGTTAGCTCCCATGGTAGCATCCAAACCCATGACAAGATACATCCGCTAAAACAATGCTGGTGAAGATTAGGATAATGCATGCAAGGTTATCAGGTACATAAAATAATAATTACAATGTAAAATCACTGGCAGGACTGACAGTAAGTTTTGGGTAACTGGGACAGAAAAATATTCTCTTGAAGTAAACGTTTCATCACTGACTTAGAGTCTGCCTACAACATAAAGTAGACACTATAGCATGTTTGTGCAACACATATATCTCTTAAAGAGTTTATTCTTACACTTACAGCATAAGCACTGATTTCTGTAAGACATTTGATTCTGGTTAGATTACATTTCATTCCACCCACTTAGGCCTTTAATAAATCAATGTAACAACTTAAAAAATAATTGCAATTATTAGGTCAGATCAATTTATCTTCTCATTTTATGGATAAATCTAACCTCCATTTTGAAACCAAAATGACACAGTTAACCTTTGCTTGAAAATAAATACATTTTCGTTATATTCTCATCCATATTTTTTAAAACTATTAATTGAAGGTATCTGATAAAACCTGGCGAAAGAATATTCAGCTTGACGCCTGCAGCAAATGTTAGGGGTGTCTCAAATGCACCTTAAACAAAAGGTGTATACAAAACTGCCATGGTACTTACATTACAGCATGATATGTACCAATAAAGTAATAAAACGAAAAGAATTAACTTAATTTGGTCTGGCCATTCAACATGAAGTGTGACGCCCTGATATATTTTGGTAAAAGGAGGCATTTGTGCAAAATTATTCTCACACAAGCATGTTGTACAACTTTTGGTTCATTAGTGGAGGGAAAGCCTCCAGTAAGTCGGAGAGCAATGTGAATTGTGCTATATTGGCCATCAGTGTTGCTCTGTATAACAAGGCTGTATCAAATGGTAATTATCTCGGACACATTCGATATAGTGATCTCAGCACTACGACGCTCGACAGTCACATACTTACGATTACAGGCTTACGGTTGTCACAGCGCTATGACCTTGATTGGGGCCCTCTGATTTATCCTTACATAGACATAGAAAAATAATAAAAAATATATCATTTACTGTTATATGCCAGAACTGTGAAGATACCATGTATTAAATAAATAAGCCCTAAATATATATCACTAGAATAAGCCTACTCATCATGTACTGCAAAATATTCTGTCATAGACAAAAACACCTTTATTACAAATATGACTTGCATTTTGATGAATATAGCTGTGACTGTTATTAAATAAAAACAATGAATTAATAAAAATATCTTATACCAATACTAAAACTTTTCAAAACAGAATTTGATCAGTTTGTGACTATAAAATGCCAAGGTTGAGAGGGACTTAATGCTATAACATGTTATAACATCTGATGTCACAACCTGGCGTTATAACCCTTCAGGTTCCATGGAACTCACTGACAGAACAGATATATAATACTGTAGCTTTTGATTATGCAGATATACACAGAAACGGCAGCTAGTGAAAGTGTCCTATATCATGAAGACATTATGTAAGGCAATAAATAGAAGACTCGGAGATCTGCAACAAGACAGGAGATCCAGCATTTCATCATCATCATCATCATCATCATCATCATCATCATCATCATCATCATCCCTAATTAATCAGTTTACATGTATAGCATTGTCCGCACTATATTTCTTTGTTTTCAAGGAGTTGTCGAGGAGTGGGACAGAAATGTACCCTAGCTACCTCTCGACCACAATTTTGTCCATAAATGACATATTTTTAACCTAAGAAAATGTTGAGTACCAGTGATTTATACCAAATTCACTATACAGAAATGGACTGATTTGATTGTGGTTATGAGATTCGTTTTTGTAAAATTTCCTTAAAATCAACATTTCCAAAAAAGGAGTGAGTGAGTGAGTTGAGTTTTACGCTGCACTCAGCAATATTCCAGCTATATGGCGGCTCCAAAACAGGAGTATACGTGAACTGACTATGGGAATCTGGGAATTTTTGTGGGTTAGGTTTTGATTGGGTGAGTGAGTTTTAGTTTTATGCCGCTTTTAGTAATATTCCAGCAATATCATGGCAGGGGACAACAGAAATAGGATTCACACATTGTAACCTGTGATAGATTTCTGTACATGACAGATACCTGTGAAAGATTTCTGTACATGAATAGTGCTTTTATATGGACACAGCTTCTTATATGGACAATAGTTTTTTATATACGAACAATATCTGCGGTGCTTTTCTGCATACAGACAGTACAGGGATCCATTTCTGGATAGACAGTATCCAGGTTACATTTCTGTATAGCATACCCAGGTTACATTTCTGTACAGGGTACATTTCTGTATAGGCATACATTTCTGGATAGACAGTATCCAGGTTACATTTCTGTATAGACAGCACCCAGGATACATTTCTGTATAGACAGCACCCAGGGTACATTTCTGCAGTCACCTCCACAACAACCCCTTATCATCCATCTCTCAGAGGTAGAATCATATCACGGAGTTGATAGAATTACCTACACATGATTAACCTAGTCTTTGGCGAAATTATATACAAAATATGACTACACTCTACACTGAAACTTCACAGAAGTCAAGGTAGAACTTTGGTTCTCTCAATGCTGTAAAACTGCATCTTTATGTTGTGATCGTCAACATCTAACACTACACTCTGTAGCAGACAATCAGTACACTGGTTGGACTATCCGTTTGGTCAGTCCTCCACACAGAAGATGTGCAAGTTGGTTCTGTTTTTCAGACGTCTGCTTTTCCTCATCTAGTCTCTGTTGATCAGGGGCACACAAGTGTTGGTCAATAGTGTAGCACTACAATCAGTACACTTGTTGGAGCATCCTTGGTGAGTCTTCCATATAGAAGATGTACATGTTGGTTCTATTTTGCAGACGTCTGCTTTTCCTCATCTGGCCTTTGATCATGGAGGCACTCCAGTGTTGGTCAATAGTGTAGCACTACAATCACTCTTGACACAAAGTCAGGTGTCTCTGGAATCGATCTCCTAGTCGGCAGGATCCAACTCTTAGATCACATGCTGCAGCCATTGACCATCTCTCAGACATGGAACAGTCACCCTTGGCTGAACCAGCTATGTCTTTCATCCTTGCTCTTTTCGGCAGCTATCAGTTGACTGTACAAGAAGCCTAATGATGGAACATCTCTGAGAATTCCATCAGTTGCCAGTGGTTGATTCAGTAACCTGCAGTTCCTCTAAGCACCACATAACTCAACCAGACATTGCTTGTGGAGTCAGGTAATACATACATAGACTACTGACTTGCCAATACACACCAAGCATCCCACTGCTATCACGAAGACCAAAACACTGTCAAAACTATTAAACAACTTTAAGGCCATATTTTAATCCCACGTAAATTCTCATGCAGAAAACTAAATATCTCAGTTATTAACTATCCCCTTCCTTCAAAAATACTTTATTATATCTGTCCATGATGAGTAGTTGACTGCATAATAGCATGTATGCTTATATCCTTACCTCAGTCAAGTCAAAACATAATGCTACAACAAATTATTAGGAAGTAATCCAATTTACCCCTTTTATAGATTGGTTTCATTGACAGATATAACCTATCACCTAAAACTGTTAAAAGCATCTGTGTACAATAATAGCACAAGACTGACTGACTGAGTGTGGTTTTACGCCGCTTTTAGCAATATTCCAGCAACATCACGGCAGGGGACACCAGAAATGGGCTTCACACATTGTACCCATGTGGGGATTCGAACCCGGGTCTTCGGCGTGACGAGCCAACGCTTTAACCATTAGGCTACCCCACCGCCCCAATAGCACAAGAAACATGAGTGGTAGGACTACAAACTGTTCATATTTCATCATGAAAAGAAAGTAGGAAACACATAGCAGTTTTTTCCTCTGTGACTACTTGATGACACCTAATTGATGTGAGGCGTGGTGTTTTGTAGTGATGCCAAAAACAATTTCCTTCATCCAACAACATTGTCTTTACAAGCCTGTTCAAAAAACTGACTCTATTTTCTTTAGACTAATTCTTGGTCTATGTTCATTTTTATCTACATAATAAAGTCACTGAAATTTCAAATCTTAGCAGATGTGTTTCTGTCACATCCATCCAACCCATATTTCACAACATGAGACCCTGTTTTGTCTTTCGTGATGAGCTTCACAGACTACAGTTTAGTCAAGATGTTCTGATCTGGTTGCCATGACAACCTGTCCAATCGTCATGCATGTGTTCATCCCAGCATCCCCATCAGTTTGCTACAATGTTTCCCCAAGACCACGTCTCAGGGATATCGCAGATCCTCTTCCAGCCAATCAGGAATGACCATGTTCAGTTTATGCAGCAGTTTAGACAGAGCTATATTATGCTTGCGATAATATCTCTTTAGAATCCTCTCCGACTTGTCTTCCATTGGAGGATAGTTCCGACCTTTCCCTTTTCCTAAACACCTATTCTTTTCCTCATTGAGGACTTGACAAAAGAAGCCTTTCCGTGGATCATACCTGCAAGAATCAAGAGGGAAAATTTAAGATGTAGATACATATAGATCTACTCTGCACAACACCAAGCTGTCGAATACCAAGTGATCAGTACAACCTGTTATAATAATAATAATAGTAAAACTATGGTTATTTATAGTGCACTGAATTCTCCACCACAAAGGAGATCGCTCAAAGAACTCAAAGAGTTTCTTCTCTTATACCAGTGAAATGGTAGATTCAAATTTAGGACCAGCATCCCATGCTTATCATAAATGAGATTAGGTTGGTTGGATTGTTTAACGCTGCAATTAATTTAACTCAGCAATATTCCAGCTATATGGCAGCGGTCTGTAAATAATTGTGTCTGGACCAGACAATCCAGTGATCAACCTCATGAGCATCATTCTACGTAATTGGGATACGATGACATGTGTCAACCTAGTCAGCGTGCCTGACCACCTGATCCCGATAGTTGCCTATTATGACAAGCATGGGTTGCTGAAGACCAATTCTAACCCAGATCTTCAGGGGTTAAATGGATTAGATGGTAAGGCTCCATGACTTGGTCAATAATACTATATCAAATGTTGACTATGCTGACGTCATGGGTATTTACTGTACTAGAATGGAGATTTGATGCACTCAGTATCGAGGTGAGGTGAGGTGAGGTGAGGTGAGGTGAGGTGAGGTGAGGTGAGGTGAATTTGGGTTTAACGTCGTGATTGAGAATATTTCGCTCATATGACGACGTGCATGCATGTGTATGTGTATGTGCGGCTGCTTGTACTAGCCCAGACTTAAGCTGGTTTTATAGTGCTAGCCCACTGAGATACCATGCCGCAGTGAAGCATGAATACCCCACTCAGACACATTATACTGACTCCGAGCCGACTAGTCCTTGTTGTACCCATTAATGCCGAGTGCCAGGCAGGGACCAACAAGTACCATATTTTAACGTCTTTTGGTATGACGCGGTCGGGGATCGAACCCGCGAATTTCCGCTCTCCGGGCGGACGCTCTAACTACTACATCACGGAGGCGGTCCAGTATCTAGGAATGTGATAAATATGTCTGTACATTACCTGAGGTGTTGACTGTAGTCAAAGTACGTGTCTATATGCAGGAAGCGCTGAATGTGATGCATGACATGGATGGGGTCATTGCGCAGCTGCTCACCGTCAATGATGAAAAGCTGGAACATAAAATAGCCAGTGAGTGCAGTATTAGCAAATCCCCATAATATCCCAGCAGGGGACACCAAAAATGGGCTTCACATATTGTACCCATGTGGGGAATTGAACCCTGATCTTCGGCTTAATGAGCAAACGCTTTAACCATTGGGCTACCCCACTGCTCTGGAACACAAACTAACCACATGCATACTCAATATTCACATAAGTGATAAAAATGATAATGAAATCTGTGATGTAATGATAATTATGTACATGAGAATAATGATAATCACATCTGTTCATGATCATCAGATAGTACAATTCAGGGATGATACACGACATATCACAAGACATCACCTGAGTTTTATACGGTGGAAGCTGCCTAAACTGGCACACGTCAAGACTGAAGAAATAATCCAGTTTAGTCATCGTGCCAGATTGTAGAGTTGACACGACTAGTTTAGTCTACGACTGCTAACTAGAACTGAACCAGTTTTGTCACTCTCATATACATTGTTGTATAACGTGATTCTCTCAATTACTGCACACATTGACTCAACTCACTAATAACATGTTCAAGTATACCCACACTGAACTAAGATTAAATTATCTTTGTCAGCAACCAGGTCGTTTCAATGTAGGATTAATTGGTGACAATACACAGCCAGCCAACTAGTCGGATTGGACAGCTGCCAGTTTTGACAGCTTCCACTGTAATTCAGTATGTTTCAAATGCATATCAACAAATAATGAAAGGAGTATTCTCCCTTTCTCAACTTCCAAGCTGCTGCAGAATCTGAATATTCATGAATGAGTTGCAGCAATATTTCAGTGACTTCAAAGCATATCAGCTAAATGCAGATGAAATTATGACAGTTTAATTTTCATTTAATTGAAACCAATGAGCATTGGTACGTTGGTCACAAACCAACAGTCATACTCTGGTTATCTTTTATACGTTCAAATTATACTGGACAAAAATACTTAGGGATATATGTAAATTTTGAAATCATGAATAATGATCTATTTATTCACTGACACTCTGATAAAATATCAATCATAAAAATACCAATATCCCTAACTTATTTTGTCCAGTATATATCTGCATTAGTCCTATTTGTCATAAGCATAAGAGTCACTCACTCACTATATCAAAATCCATGCATCCTACACCTATTTATGCATCCTGACAAAATGAATGATTTACTTTTAGTATGAGTTTTGGTTTTTACTTGGAAGCAATATTCCAGCAACATCAGCGGAAAAAGTGACCAAAATGAATGAATGAGTAAGAGAGTGAGTGAGTCTAATGCCACACATTAAGGCCACTATGGAACAACATCAATTTCAATGGATGTCAGCTTGCGATTGCAGAAAAGCCCTCAATGCCATAGGTTTCAGAAGCCCTTCACTTTCAGTAAACCAAAATAAATAAATAAATAAAGACAAACAATATAACATAATCAGAGTAAACTGAGATTTGAACCAATAATCACAGGTTTTGGCATTCCTGAGCGATGCATCTCAGCACAGCAAACAGCAATGCCTTAGAAAACATAGCCACCTGAATCCTGAGTGTAGTACAGAACTGTCCCAGCATGCAATGTGTTGACATTTACATGTTACACAAGTCTAAACCTGGTCAGATCATCCCACATTGAAACAGAAAAATTGTAAAGCAAAAAGACTACACCTAATGTTCTCATCATCTGAGAACAATGTAAAAAGATTGTCCCAAATGTGTCTTACATATTCATTCCATTCTATAGGAACCTGGAAAAACAAAAGTTTCAACTAAACTCACAAAAAACAACAACTTTGGGATCCTTGACGGTAAGAATTTTCAGACGACATATTTTCTCTGTAACTCACAAACACAGTAGCCTGAGAATGTTTACTAACATCCTGTATTGAAACAATAGTTATCTCTATATGGCTCATAGATTCACTTCAAAAGTTAAAAACACTATCTTACCAATAACTCGTGTTGGAAACCATCAACCAATCAAATAAGATTACATCTACATTCAAAATTACTATTTTATTTAAGTGAGGTCACTCAATACATACCACATCAGTTTTCATAGAGATACACAAACATTTTTGAATGCATGTTGCAGCTGCTTCATCATTCCACAGCTCTAACACAGCTGTAATTTAGTAAACCTGTTTGAAAACAAAACTAATTCCCTTCCACCAACTGAAGACCGCTACTTCCTTACAATCCATTCTCTTCCCACAGAGGTTACTTGTCATATCTTCCTACGAACCTCTGTTCTAATACAGCCATATTTCCCGTAAAATCCCCTAGCGGCAAAAAATCACAACACAAATTATCTCCCTTCTTTTTATCCAATCAGAACACGTGATACATCGACTTAGATCCAACTTGACTAATGCAAGTAAAATGGGGCCACAAATATCCCACTTCTCTGCCGGGGTTTTGTGTTGATGTGACACACAAGACATTTAATGGCAAGCTTGTCCGTTGTCCTCGAGATCTGGCATTACATGACTGAGTTCTGTCTAGAAGAAACGTTTGCGCATCGCGCAGGGGAAGAGGTTCTAGTTTTCCCGAAGCATAAGGATATTACCGAGGCCTTGCGAAGGATCACTTTTGAAACAACGTCGCTGATTGCACAACTAAATCTGATTGCAACCAATCACGAAACCTGAACACTCGCACCATGAAAGGGTCGTATTAGAACAGAGGTTCTGTGGGAAGAGAATGGCTTACAATCATGCCAACCACAAGTTCTGTTATGTCAGTCATCAAACAGTACTGTGCCATTGGTTAGGGATACTGGAGATGCTGCAAGTCTGACAAGAGACTACTGCATCTGGTCGAGCATGTCAAGCTTTCCATCTGCAAAATGTCATGATTTTGAAAGTTTTCCCACAGAAATATGACGTCATGACATCCTGATGCTCAGTTGTCGTCTGCTCCATTTCTCACAATGTTGGCCACTGACTTTATGGTTGCTTGGAGCAGGAATGATCTGTCGTCAGACAAAGAAAGAACTTATCGTGAACCTGCAGAGCAAATCCTGCAGAGAAATATGCAAACTGCTAGATAAAGCTGAGAGCATGTTTTAGACATTTTACAGAGAGAACACCAAAAGCTAATAGGATCATCACACATAGAAACAGGCAAGAACCATTGTAAAGCCACAAGACTCAGATTTGTGACATCATCAGGTATGACATCCAGATGCTTTGTTGGCATCTGCAACATTTCTCACATTTTTGGCCACTGACTTTATGGTGGCTCAGAGCAGGAATGATTTGTCGTCAGACAAAGAAGAACTTATCATGGACCTGTAAAGCAAATCCTACAGAGAAATATGCAAACTGCTAGATGAGTATGTAAGTGAGTTTAATTTAGCACCGCACTCAGCAATATTCCAGCTATATGGCGGTGGTCTGTAAATAATCAAGTCTGGACCAGACAATCCAGTGATAAACAGCATGAGTATCGATCTACGCAATTGGAATATGATGACATGTGGCAACCAGTCAGTCAGCTGAGGCCTGATCCGTTAGTCACCTCTGTTACGACAAGCATGGGTTACTGAAGATCAATTCTAAACTGACCTAGATGAAGCCGGGAGCATGTTATATACGATCTTCAGAGAACACCAACACCTTGAAGGATTATCCCACACTGAAACAGCAAAGCCATTGTAAAGCCAGAAGATTACACCAAATGTTCCCATCATCCTTAGTGATGCATCTCTGCACAGCAAACAGTGATGTTTAGAAAACATGGCCACCTGTGTCCTGAGTGGTACTGAAATCCCTCAGTTGGTCAGAGAGGAGCATAGAATCATCCCAGCAAGCAATGAGTGGACATTACCTACATGTTACAAACATTTAACACAGACACACCACCACCAGCAGGATCTTGCCACAATAAAACAGCAAGAACCTTCGTTAAGCCAGACGACTACACCATATGTTCACATCATGTGAGAACAAAGTAAATAGATTGTCCCAAGTATGTCTTACACTTTGATTTCCTGCAGGTTCCTGGAATAAAATATGTTTCATATATACTCACAACTAGAAACTTGGTGATCCTTGATGGTATGAGTAAGAGGGTTCAGCTATACGCTGCTTGTAGCATAATTCCGGCAATCGCAAGGCAGCGGACACCAGAAATGAGCTTCACACATTGTACCCATATGGGGAATCGAACCCGGGTCTTCGGCATGACGAGCAAACGCTTTAACCACTAGGTTACCCAACCAACTCTTGATGGTATGAACTTCGAATGAAAAATAGATCTTCTTCTGTAGCTATCAAAATCATGAGTCAAACAAGGTTCACAGACATCCTTGATCATCCAGTACATATCGCCATTCTCCATGTTTAAATTATCCATAACAATATATACAGAGTACATTAGTCAGGCATTGCCTCCTTTATGTGACTCCAATGCTGGAGTAGGGCCACACATATCACACATCTGGCGTACAGAAACTGGATAATTTCATTCAGTGAAAATAAATGTCGTTCACTCTTTAGAAAAATCCCAAATCATTAAAAAGCACCAGTCTAACACTAAACTGATCTTTACAGCAAGTCTCAACATGAAGATGTTTTTAGAGTGAGTGAGTGAGTTTAGTTCTATGTTGCTTTTTGCAAAATTCCAGCAATATCACTGCCATGGGTTAAGGGTACTGGAGATGATGCAAGACTGACAAGAGACTATTGTATCAGGCCAAGCGTGTCAAACTTTCCACCTGCAAAATGTTATGATTTTTAAATGGACCTGCATAGCAAATCCTTCAGAGAAATATGCTCACAGCTAAGTGAAGCTGAGAGCATGTTAAATACATTTTACACAGAGAACACCAACACCTAATAGGATCATCCCACACTGAAATAGCAAGAACCATTGTAAAGCTAGAAAACTACACTATATGTTCTCAGATTTATGACGTCATCAGGTATGACGTCCAGATGCTTTGTTGACGTCTGCTCTATTTCTCACAATTTTGGCCATTGACTTTATGATGGCTTGAAGCAGGAATGATGTGTGGCTAGAAAAAGAAAGAACTTATCATGGCCCACATAGCAAATCCTGCAGAGAAGTAAGCCAACTGGAAGATCAAGCTGTGAGCATGTTCTATACATTTTACACAGAGAACACCAACACCGAAATGGGTTTACCCCATACTGAAATAGCAAGAACCATTGTAAAGCTAGAAAACTACACCATATGTTCTCAGATTTATGACGTCATCAGGTATGACATCCAGATGCTTTGTTGACATCTGCTCTATTTCTCACAATTTTGGCCATTGACTTTATGATGGTTTGAAGCAGGAATGATCTGTGGCTAGTCAAAGAAAGAACTGGACCTGTATAGCAAATCCTGCAGAGAAATATGCCAACTGCTAGATGAGTGAGTGAGAGTGAGTTTAGTTTTACGCCGCACTCAGCAATATTCAAGCTATATGGCGGTGGTCTGTAAATAATCGAGTCTGGACCAGACAATCCAAGGATCAACAGCATGAACATTGATCTATGCAATTGGGATACTATGACCTGTGGCAACCCAGTCAGCGAGGCTGACCACCCGATCCGCTAGTCACCTCTTACGACAAGCATGGGTTACTGAAGATCAATTCTAACCCGGACCTTCACGGGTCACTGCTAGATGAAGTTGAGAGCATGTTATATACATTTTACACAGAGAACTAATAGGATTATCCCACACAGAAACAGCAAAAGCCATTGTAAAGCCAGAAGATTACACCAAATGTTCCCATCATCCTTAGTGATGCATCTCTGCACAGCAAACAGTGATGTTTCAGAAAACATGGCCACCTGTGTCCTGAGTGGTACTGAAATCCCTCAGTTGGTCAGAGAGGAGTATAGAATCATCCCAGCAAGCAATGAGTGGACATTACCTACATGTTACAAACATTTAACACAGACACACCACCACCAGCAGGATCTTGCCACAATAAAACAGCAAGAACCTTCGTTAAGCCAGACGACTACACCATATGTTCACATCATGTGAGAACAAAGTAAATAGATTGTCCCAAGTATGTCTTACACTTTGATTTCCTGCAGGTTCCTGGAAAAACAAATGTTCCATCTATACTCACAACTAGTCTATGTCGCTTTTAGCAATATTCCAGCAATATCATGGTGGCAGACACCAGAAATGGGCTTCACACATTGTACCCATGTGGGGAATCTAACCCGGTCTTCGGCATGACGAGCAAACGCTTTAACCACTAGGTTACCCCACCGCCCTTTGACGGTATGAACTTCAAATGAAAAATATATCTTTTTTTGTTGCTATCGAAATCATGAGAGTCAAAAAAGGTTCACGGACATCCTTGATCATCCAGTGCATATCGCCATTCTCCATGTTTAAATTATCCATAGCAACATATACAGAGTACATAAGACAGGCATTGCCTCCTTCCTGTGACTCCAAAACTGGAGTAGGACCACACATACCACACATTTAGCTCACTGGATACCGTCAGTTCAGTGAACATAAATGTCGTTCAATCTTCAGAAAAATCCAAAATCATTAAAAGGCACCAGTTCAACACTAAACTTATCTTTACAGCAATTCTCAATAAGAAAACATTTTAGAGTTCAGGAGATTGAAATCATGGATGGATAGATATGCCGATTGCTGTATCCTCCATACAGAAAGGGTACTATTTCTGGGAGTGAGTTGGGTTGTACACCACTTTTAGCAATATTTCAGCAATATTACGGTTGGATACACTACAAATGGACTTCACACATGTGGGAACTCGAACCTGGGTCTTCAGCGTGACAAGCTAACACTTTACCCACTTGGCTACCCTACCACCCCTAGTATTTCTGGATATGGAACTCCCAGATTATATCTGTTACCAGGATACAGAGATCAGATATGCCTGTCTGCATGTTTTACACACATGTAAGGAGAGTTTTGAAGCTTTTGAAAATGGTCTGTCTATTTTATAAAGTTCACACAAAGAAACCTTCAATGTCCTCAGATCCTGACACAGATAGGTGTTTGCAGAAGATGAGAGACACTGAATTTTTTAGGTTGCCCTAAATCGAAGATATGACAAATAGATCTAGGATATTTATCAAAACAGAATGTAAAAATAGATGCAATGGATAGTAAAGGATGGTATGGTACAGATCACCATTATCTATAACAACTACTGTCTACATATGTTAGTGGACAGTGTTCTAACAGAAGCTTATGCAAAGGTGACTTGGTCATCATAAACTCTGCTACCTGTCTTGGTGAAAAGTAGTCCATCCATCGCATCAGGTGCTGTGCATAGGTCCCAGGGTTCAGACAGCGGCTGCGGAGTTCTCGGACTCGCCGCGGCGCCATTTCTGTTGCTGTGATTATCTCATGGAACGAGTAGTTGAGTGCTGTTGGATCTTCATGTGCTCGCATGTGCTACAGACAAGATATTGAGAGCTGTGTAATAAGGTGAGGTGAAATTGGGTTTAACGCCCGTTGGAGAATATTTCGCTCATATGACGACGTGCATGCGTGTGTATGTGTAGGTGCGGCTGCTTGTACTAGCCCAGACTGAAGCTGGTTTCAGCTGTGTCCTAAGGGTATTAAAAGGGTATATAGGGTTTTATGATATATAAGTTAGTGATTGAGTATGGTGTTGCCCCACTTTTAGCAATATTCCAGCAATATCACGGCAGGGGACACCAGGAATGGGCTTCACACATTGTACCCATGTGGGGATTCGAACCTGGGTCTTCAACGTGACGAGCAGACACTTTAACCACTAGGCTACCCCACCGCTCTTATAATATAAAAGGGTATTAGGGTTATAATATATAAGGGTATTATAAGGGTATGTAATATATAAAATATATCAATGTGCTTCATACATGGAAATGGATGGGGCTTATTGTTCATATATCAGAGATGCTATACTTAGGCATTCAGGAATATTCGGGGTCAAAATGGCAATTTTTATATCAAAATACACCCAAGTAGATCATCTGACTTATATACTATTCACACTTTGCTAAGGATCGAATCATGGATTCAACAGAAAACTATGATGTGGAGTCAAATTTGGTTTAAATATCTAAGCTTATTGTAAGCATGGATCCTTGGGTTTCAGTATGTCATTTCATCTTGTGGAACCCATACCTGCTATTGACAGGTGTTGTGTACTTGTCACTGACTCGTTCCATGATTTGCAAAATGGCTGAAAACCATTTTTATGGTTCCTCATGTATCAGGTGCATAAGGTTAGATTAAAGTGTCTGTTTGCCTAAAGAGGGGTTACCATATTATAACTTATCCAGTTTTAAATGGATACAATTTCAAATTATGAATCTAAGTAAGTAAGGTTGTGAATTTTTGTGATCCTTAGCAAAGTGTGAGTAGTATGGATAGAACTTGTCACAACACTCACAGCAAAAGTAGTTTTTGCTTTGACAGACCAAGATGTAACTGGCAGACAAGTCAAATTATGTAAAGAGTAGGTTCTGCTTGAAATGGTTTGACCATTTTCTCCGATGTTCAAAGGTTGCTTAACTTTGCTTAGAAATCCCCTGTCAAAAACCTCAAATACTGACAATCTACTGATAGCTTACCTGGTACCATGAGTAGGCCCGTTTGGAGGGACTGAGGAGTATACATATAATTTTGGCTCTAGGTAACAAAGCATGAGCCCGCATCGGAACCTGGTCGTTGTCAAAGTATGTCGCACTCTTCTCAAACAGAAACACTGAGGTAGAATTAACAGGGACTGGGAAGAACTCCATGTACCTGTATGGAAAGAAGCAAAACACTGATTACTTCACAGCTAATATATACATCCAGCTTAAAACTGTGACAATAAAAACAATTAAGTATAATGAAAATTACAAACAGTAAGAGGCCATAAACTCACATCACCAATACACATCACTAAGAAACTGACCAATACACATCACTAAGAAACTGACCAATACACATCGCTAAGATTCTGACCAATACACATCACTAAGAAACTGATCAATACACATCATTAAGAAACTGACCAATACACATCATTAAGAAACTGACCAATACACATCATTAAGAAACTGACCAATACACATCATTAAGAAACTGACCAACACATCATTCAGAAACTGACCAATACACATCACTAAGAAACTGACCAATACACATCATTAAGAAACTGACCAATACACATCACTTAGAAACTGACCAATACACATCATTAAGAAACTGACCAATCGATTCCCTTGTAGTAGTTATTGCCATTGAAGAACTGGATTTCCTCGTACGTCTCTGGGCTGTTGAAGTTGCTGAAGATTGACGGATGCATCTGCAGAAACGTGTACAGAGCAGTTGTTCCTGGAAGTGGAGAAAGATTGTTTGTTATTTTCATTACATTTTTGGTTTACCACCACTCTCTCTAAAATTCCAACTTCATGGCAACATGCTGTAAAAACATCTCTCCGAACCAGAAAAACAGAGATCAATATAATGAGCACCTGTTTGTGAGCAGTCACCAGTTAAAAAATATAAATTTGTCATCTCACAAGGAACGACTGGAGTAAAATATTGACTTCATGTTTTCAGATACTGACCCTGCTGTTTATCACTCAATATATACTCCAACATGAACAATGTTAATCTTTTTAAAAGAGATTATTCTTAAGTAACTAAATACCAAACATTTTCTATATCATAGTTAAAACATTTACATTGATATTCTCATAATGAATTATTCACAAACATTATATTTCTAGCAACATTGATGAATATGTCTTGTAAAATCAACGCATTATCTCGTAACTAACCTGTTTTCTGGGGCCCAATAACCAGAAACTTTGGCAGTCTTGAACAGGTCTTGTTGGCCGACCAAATCATCAAATGACGTTTGTAATCACATGGGTTCTGCAGGAAAAAGAGAGTGTGAAAAACTGAAAGGTCTTTTGACATTGTAAGTAGACAATTTATTCGCTGAATTTATGACCTGTTAATCAAAACTTATCACAACTCATGCTGAAAGCAAATAGAACATATATATGAAAATCAAAATCTATCTGAGTCCTACTATGGATCCGAGTCCTTCCATGGACCCAAAAATCCATATATGGATCTGAGTCATTCTATGGATCTAGGGCCAACCATGCATCTGAGTCATTCTATGGACCTAAGTCCAACTTTGGATCAGAGTTGTTGTAAGGACCCAAGTCTAACCATGGATCTGAGTCATTTTATGGATCCAAGTCCAACCATGGATCCGAGTCATTCTAACCATGGATCCGAGTCATTCTAACCATGGATCCAAGTCATTCTTCGGATCCAATTCCAACAATGGACCAAAGTAATTCTATGGACCCAAGTCCAACTTTGGATCCAAGTCATTCTATGGATCCAATTCCAACCATGGATCTGAGTCATTCTATGGACCCAAGTCCAACTATGGATCCAAATCCAACCATGGATCCAAGTCATTTTATGGACCCAAGTCCAACCTGGATCCGAGTCATTCTATGGACCCAATTCAAACCTGGATCCAAGACATTCTATGGACCCGATTCCAACCATGGATCCGAGTGATTCTATGGACCTAAACCCAACCATGGATCCGAGTGATTCTAACCATGGATACAAGTCGTTCTATGGATCCAATACCAACCATGGTTCCAAGTAATTCTATGGACCCCAGTCAAATTATTGATTGAAGTCATTTTATGGATCCAAGTTCAACTATGGATCCTCGTCATTCTATGGACAAAGTCCAACCATGGATCCAAGTCATTCTATGGATCCAATTCCAACCATGGCTCCAAGTAATTCTATGGATCCCAGTCCAACTATGGATCCAAGTCATTCTATGGACCCAAGTCCAAACATGGATCCAAGTCATTCTATGGATCCAATTCCAACCATGGATCCAAGTCATTCTATGGACCCGAATCCAACTCCAACCATGGGTCCGAGTCATTCCATGGATACAAACCCAACCATGGATCCTAGCCATTCTATGGACCCAAGTCCAACCATGGATCCGAGTCATTCTATGGACATAAGTCCAACTCTGGATCCAAGTCATTCTATGGACCCAAGTCCAGCTATGGATCCAAGTCATTATATGGACCCAAGTCCAACTATGGATCCAAGTCATTCTATGGATCCAAATCCAACCACGGATCTGAGTCATTCTATGGATCCAATTCCAACAATGGATCCGAGTCTTTATATGGATCCAAACCCAACCATGGATTCGAGTCATTCTATGGACCCGAGTCAATCTATGGACAGAAGTCATTCTATGGACCCAAGTCCAACTATGGATCCTTGTCATTCTATGGACCCAAGTCCAACTATAGATCCTCCTCATTCTATGAATCCAAATCCAACCATGGATCCGCATCATTCTATGGACCCAAGTCCAACCATGGATCCAAGTCATTCTATGGATCCAATTATAACCATGGATCCAAGGCATTATATGGATCCAAATCCAATCTCAGATCTGAGTCCAACCAAGGATCTGAAGCCCTACCTTGTAATAGAATCTTCCCCCCAGATCTCAAGCCTCCCCAAGACGATAGTCCTTCAACACAGTCCCAACACAGACCTTGGTCTGTTCCACACAGTCCCAACACAGACCTTAGTCCTTCAACACAGTCCCAACACAGATCTTTGTGTCACCAACCAAACTGCAATCATTAACTGTCAATCCCGACATTACCTGCCAGATAGGGTCCCGTTCCTCTGGGTACATCTCGAAGTACTTGAGTCCCAGCTGTAGAGGAGGCAGGCTTCTCAGACGGAGGTTGGTCCAGCACTTGATGAACCTGACCACACTCTCGAACGTGTACAGCGCGCCAGGCGATCATTACCATAGTTGGACAGGTGGGTCATGAAGATGCTCACCTGCGTTCACACAAAGAAAGCCACTTTAAAAATAGGGCACTTTTAACACATAATCAAATCCCTTGTTGATATTTTCAGGACACAAAGTGGGCGTGTATAACAGAGCATGAATGAGCATCTTCCATCCCATACAAGGCAACAATTTCATGCTATCTGCATAGTGGACATGCTGAAATGGTTAACATGCTGTTATGACAGCATTTCCACACAGTGGACCACGAACAATATCTAAGCATTACACATTCCTGGAATCTATACATTCATATCATGTCATACAAAGTCAGAGATCAGTCAGTGAGACAGTGACAGCAGGCAGTATTATTGCAACTGACAAAAATTCTTATTCAAACTTTGTATTTCAATCATAGCCATCACTACAGTAACAGCAACTTACCGGACTGTATAGGAATGTCTGAAAGAGTTCTCCCCCTTGAATGTTTTTGTCCAGCTCGTCCTTTCCCCCATTGTAGTCACCCATGTAGACAGTGTGCGTGAACAAGCCACAGGTCTGACGTGGAAGCACCTCCGAAACAAGACAGAATTATCAGGGAGGCTACGCTTACTACTTTCATACATCTGTATATTCACACTGGAGTCAAAAACCTTTTCTTTTATAATTTAGACTAATGTAGATCCAGGTCAGAATTGGTCTTCAGCGAACACATGCTCAGGGGCAGATCCAGAGAGAGAGAGAGAGATCCAGAGAGAGAGAGAGAGAGAGAGAGAGAGAGAAGAGAAGAGAAGAAATTTTTCCCTGAAGAGCATTTCCTCCTAACCTTTGGACTTCATGATTTATGTGCACCTTTTTCGATTACAGGAATTCTTCATTTTTATTAAAAAGCATAGTACACTGAATACCTGCTCCTGTAAAATCTATACTCAGGACATGAGAATCCTGATAATACTAAGGTCTCCACTCACCATGATTCCCTTGTGTATGAACCCCCTCCGACGCCAGTAGGGGTAGAGGCGGGGGTACTCCTCAGTGCTGGTGACCTTGATGTCCCACACGTTGTGCCAGGCGTGGTACAAGGCATCATGGACCGGGTACACCCCTGAGTGGTGCGGGGCCACAGCGTACTGGAACTTGACCTTGATGTCATTCTCCTGCAGGCAGTTCAATTAGTCATCAGGTCTATGTCATGGCTACAATCATCTGTGGTGAGTTACATTTCGTGGTAACATAGTGAGTTAGTTTCATTTTACACCGCTTATAGGAATATTCCAGCATTATCACAGTGGACACAAGAAATTGGATTTATACATTGTACCCATGCAGGGAATCGAAACTGGGTCTTCAGCATGACGAACCAACACTTTAACTACTAGGCTACCCCACCGCCCCCTTGATCTGAACACACAGTGCACCAAGTAGTTTTTATGTCGGGGGCAATACAATTCTTAGAAACAATGCAGTCCCAAATACTCTCAATCTACTAAATGGAGGTCTCTGTGAGTGATTGAGCTAGTTCAGTTTTACACCACTTTGAGCAATATTCCAGCAACATCACGGTGGGGGACACCAGAAATGGGCTTCACACATTGTACCCATGTGGGAAATAGAACCCGGGTCTTCGGTGTGACAAGTGAACACTTTAACCACAAGCCTACCCCACCGTCCCAAGGTCTCCACGACGGTAAGGTGACAAACATGGTGTGTGTGGATGACGATAAGACTAACAAATATGTATGGGTGTAAAGTATCTCACAAGGCCTCTATGGGAGTAAAGTGACACATAAATAGTGGATGTGTGTGGAGTGTATGAGTGTAAAGTGTCCCACAAGGCCTCTATGGGAGTAAAGTGACACATAAATAGTGGATGTGTGTGGAGTGTATGGGTGTAAAGTATCTCACAAGGCCTCTATGGGAGTAAAGTGACACATAAATAATGGATGTGTGTGGAGTGTATGAGTGTAAAGTATCTCACAAGGCCTCTATGGGAGTAAAGTGACACATAAATAGTGGATGTGTGTGGAGTGTATGAGTGTAAAGTATCTCACAAGGCCTCTATGGGAGTAAAGTGACACATAAATAGTGGATGTGTGTGGAGTGTATGAGTGTAAAGTATCTCACAAGGCCTCTATGGGAGTAAAAGTGACACATAAATAGTGGAGTAAAAGAGTATCTGAGGCCTCTATGGGAGATAAAGTGACACATAAATAGTGGATGTGTGTGGAGACTGTATGTAAAGGTGTAAATAAATGAGTGTAAAGTATCTCACAAGGCCTCTATGGGAGTAAAGTGACACATAAATAGTGGATGTGTGTGGAGTGTATGAGTGTAAAGTATCTCACAAGGCCTCTATGGGAGTAAAGTGACACATAAATAGTGGATGTGTGTGGAGTGTATAGGTGTAAAGTATCTCACAAGGTGTGTGCAGAAGTTGTGAGTTAGTGACTTTAGTTTTATGATGCTTTCAGCAATATTCCAGCAAAATTCCAGCAATATCTCAGGGGGAGACACCAGAAATGAGCTCCACACATTGTAGTTTGTACCCATGTGGGGAATCGAACAGGGGTCTTCGGTATGATGAGCAAAAGCTTTAACCGCCACCCCTTGTGTGCTGAAGTAAAGCGACCCACAAGGTGTGTACAGGTGCAAGACAAGGTGTGTAAGGTTTGAGGTCACTCACCTTTGCAAACTGGAAGTTCATCAACATGGAGCGCTCCAGGAAGTCCTGGTCAAATTTGTGAGCCTGTTCATGCCTCCACATGTGTCCGAACCACCAGAACTTGTCTCGATACTCTGCAGCAGCAGCAACAACAACATATACAGCAGGCGTCAAAACATCACAGAACTCAGTGAGCATCAACATTCTCAAGTAAGTATGTTTATGGTTTAGCAAAGTACCTCGCAAATTTTCAGCTACTTTCCTGCACTTTCTACAAGGAAAGAACAGTGACTCAAAGTCAAATATCAAGTAATGAAAGACTGGTACTTACTGGTAAGTAAAACATTTGTTAAGCCTTATTCATGAAATGAATACATGATACGTTTCATGGATAACATTTTTTCTTCATTCACCTGATAAATGACCAAGAACTAGCTCAGAAACGTCGTATGAAGAATAAAAAGAAGTTGTTATCCATAAAAACGTGTCATCCAACTTCTAAATGCCTTTCAAGAACACTTTATTCATGAAGCTTCTCTTATAAACCTTAAGTTAGTAAAACATTTGGTTATCTACTTGATTCACAGTGTTTACTGATGCAGTTAGTGCCAAGATCAAAGACTTTATCATTAGCCTCACCATGCTTGAACGTGTGGAATTTGTTTATTTGTTTCCACTGAAGTATCATTACGTTGCATTGGTTACAATTCACATTATCAGAATATATTTGCAACCAAATAAAATCCTACACATGTAGTAAGCATAAAGCTTCACGGATACCTACACATTAATTAATACATATATACCATTAATAATGATTAATATGGACAAACTTTATGGAAAACATCTTGATTTTGTGAGTATGGTGTTTTGATACAGATCGTGTACTATTGCCAGGCCAAAATGCCACTCAAAGATGTAAATGATTACGGCTGAAGCACACAAACCAGTGGTTGATGTCATGAGCACCCTCTCACACCATCAGTATATGATGACATCCAATCCATCAAATCACCATTCCAGACAGGACAATAAATAAAGTCACCTCTTACATAATTGGCCAGAGTAGGCAGACTTCTACCTATTTTAAATCAGAATTCAGCAGCCGATTATGTTTAGATATGATTATATACATCCCAAGGTTGTAATTGCTTCTCACAGATTTATAAACAACATGTACAACGGCCTGCAGAGATGAAGTAAACACAGACCAGGCTAGCATCTGGGTACATGATCTTCATCAATTATACTTCAGGTGTGCACAGGAAGTGCTGCGATACGTCAGACTTTCCAAGCAAGCCAAGTAGGCTAGTTTCTCCTTAAAATGCTGCCATATGCCCTGTATGCAGAACCGAATTTCCTTGAAAAACAGAATTCCAGCCTTCAAAATGATGGTAACAGGTTTAATATGGAGTAATGGTTACCATGGTTACCCTGCCATTCTGATAACACCACAAATCATGGCTTGCTTCCATGTAGTTTACAGTCAAGTAACCCAAATCTATGTCATTCATTAAAGTCTGGAAATTGAGTCTTAAGACAATATTTGTTTAACCCCAAAGCAGCTTAACATGATCAAAAGTTGATTAAAACCGAAAAAGAAGGGAAAATGAAGTTCCACATTGTTTGAAGGAGGGTGATTGTAAACAGTAGCTAGGACATGATACATAGGATCCTGTACGTCACTGCCAGTAGGCTACATCAAAATGTAATGTTTCGCAGGCACATCGCAGGGATGGCTTTTTCATCTTCAAAAGAATAAAGCATGATGAGTAGGAATGGTTTTACACCACTTTTAACAATATTCCACCAGAAATGGGTTGCACACATTGTACCCATGTGGGGAATCGAACCCAGGTCTTTGGTGAGATGAGCAAACACTTTAACCACCAGGCTATCCCACTGATCCGAATGTGATGAGAGCACCAACACACATTTTGGCACAGATAAACTCAGCTCTTAAGTTTACTCTCACGGGCCTTTGTGGATACCAGAACTGGGGCTAACGCAACACAGAAACGTGTATCCAATAAGCACAAACAAACACAATGGATCCAAGAAAATATACACTGCGTCCTGAAGGATGCACAAAAATATTCTTTGTACTCAAGTTTTGACAAGAAACAAGATTCCTATAATTGCAATACTTATTAAATTTTAAGGTTCAGTACATTATACAGTGAAAACCTGATAAGTAAAATCTCATGGGCCTCGCCAAAATTGTTTACTTATCAGGTATTTTACTTATCCAAACTGATAAAAACCTGCAAATGACAACCATATGCATGTATATGTATGCAAATGTAACAATGAACAAATTATCAGGGCTGGCCTCCAGTTGTCAGTGTATTGTCAACTGCTTGACGCCAGCGAGCTGTAAGTAGGATGTTTGTTTGACTGGAGACTGACACTACTGCCCCTCATGTCGGATTATGTGGTGATCGCTAATTTAGTTATCCAGTCTCTTTTGTTAAGGAATTTACTTCCAGGGACCGTGAGAAGACGTTTAGTTAAGCGGTATTGTTTACTTATCCGAGTTTAGTTAACCGGACTCTAATAGTGATAATTAACCCTTTCAACACCGCAGGCCGCTTAAGCGGCCACAACGTTATGAGTCCCCAGACACCGGAGGCCGCTTAAGCGGCCAGGCAGTAGTCACGTCAAAATGAGACATAATTTTAGGAACTTACCTGACTTATGATTCATATATTAAATCCATCACATTTCACAATGTCTGGAAACACTTATTAAATTTCAATTGATCATATATTATCGGCAGAATTAAAATTATAAACTATTTTTCGCAATGTAATTGAAAACAACGATTCTCGGACACATGCTTCGGGAGCGGGTCCACAATAACATTGTCAAAGAGCAAAGTAACGATGTTTCGAGGAAATGATTAAATAAATAGAATAAACTAATGAATAAAATCAACAACAGCATTCATAAAAGTTGTCAAAGCGTGCATATAAAATTACTTTTTCCATCTTTTTGTGTGATCATGTAATGCAAGTCAAATCACTGACAAGTGACATCTCGCTCTCGCCGCCTCAATCTTCACTTTCGGACGCGATGTTTAATCGCGAAAATATATGCATGAAGCATTTTTGTCACAGGTCATAACCTAGCACGATACGTCCAATAAGTCCCATAATTTCACGTATATGTAGCGATTTCTTGCTTAATATGTTCAGAATAGCATTATTTTACCCAAAACTTTTGTCTAAATCTAAAAAAATTCGTTTACGAGGGCGGTATCCATTGCCGTAATATGATTGGCTGCCATAGGTCACGTGTCTGATTTTGACCAATCACGACCCTTATAGCAGACTGTAGCGAAAAAGCGTCATTAGAAACCAATTTTTATCCAATAAAATCGCTTCTTACAACTGTGAAAATACTCTCGGCAAGGGTTCAGTGATGTTGTTGATGTTCAGAGCTTCGAGCGATACCCGGCATCAAAGCGATTAAGCCTCCCATGTTATTCATCTGAAGCTTGAAAGCGGAGGTATTTTCCGTTGTTATGTCATGTTACCGGCCGGAAAGCCACAGATGTCGGGAAATAGGCGACCATACATATTATTTAAGAAATCTTTTTATAATAATTTTCTGATTACGTAAAAGTGAAAATATAAAAGAAAAGCCGCGGGCATGTTATGACATGTCACAAATGGAAAAAAATCGCCTTAGTTTTTGCTTCTTTCGTGGTTTATCTGGACGTTATAAATGTAAGCTTGCATTTTCATTCAAAATAATTTTATTTAAGTTGTAGTTGTATTATTTGAATAATATTATAAAAATAAACTTCATATTTATCAACATTAGGATTAGATCTTTTAAATGGTGTATGGGATGTAGTAGCAATAACGTTTTGCAAGCTTATAATTTCCTTCATAAACATAGGCTTCATCTATGACCTCAGAGTCTCTGGGAACCGGTGTCATGGCAGTAAATGCCTCTGGTTGACTGGTGTTGAAAGAGTTAATGAAGAAAGTTGCCGGGACCAAAGAAAAGTGTTTACTTGTCAGGTCTGTTTAGTTAAGCGGTCTTTACTTAGGTGGTTTCCACTGTACTACTATTTTATTGATATACACCACCCACATATTTCTTGTAAGAACCCTTGAAATTAGTGACTGGGGGCCGTCTGGCCCTCTAGTTATGTAGGCCAAGGCAAATTTCTGATGGAACCTGCTCAGACATAGGAAATATCAAAAATATTTTTCTACCAGCTATAAAAATGCCTCCCGCATAATGTCTAAAGTGAAGCAGCAATGCCTGAGATCCATTTCCATCTTCTTGTCTTATAGGAACCATAAAGGCTAGCATCAGTTCACACACCACTGATTTCATCTGGGATGGGCTGTAAAGCTGAGCTTAATGCCTAACCTTCGTTTCCCCCCTAACCCCTTATACCAGCTGAACCCATTCAGTCTATAAAACGCTTCATTAAATGCTGCAATAACTATCACATAATTGGAATTGCTGCAAAACAATTTGAATCCGTACTGGCAACGGTGCTCATCTTCATGTTCATGTGAAAAAGGAAGGAAAATATCAAATTAAACCAGCAAGGGATTATCAATAATCAATGGAATAAAATCTTGATAAACCTTTTATGTATTACTATTGGTTTACGATTTGATCTAAACTCTGTGTGCATTTGTTAGAGATGCTACTCTTATGTGGATGGTTTGTTGTTTAACGCTGCACTCAGCAATATTCCATATATGGCAGCAGTCTGTAAATAATCGAGTCTGGACCAGACAATCCAGTGATCAACAGCATGAGCATCAATCTACGCAAATGGGATACGATGACATGTGTCCTGGGTTACATGTGACATGCATCTTACGACAAGCATGGGTTACTGAAGACCAATTCTAACCCGCATCTTCATGGGTAACTACTCTAACTGGGATCATTCAAAGTACAAAGCTTCAGCTCCACAAGCCTGTAGTTTCAGTGAGTGAGTGAGAGAGTTGGGTTTTTTTTCACCATTTTCAGCACCAGAAACAGACTTCACACACTGTACCCATATGAGGAATCAAACTTCGTCTTCCGCGTGACAAGCGGACGCTTCAACCAATAGGTTACACCACCGCCCATGTAGTTTCAGAGAAGATATAAAAAATGCAGCAACACTTGATGACTTCATGTGATGAAGGTGAAAGGTCATAGCCTGATCAAATATGAAATATGCAAAACACGATAACATTTGATTTCTGTATAACATATACTCGCTGCATATCAAATTTCATAATCACACATGAAGAAATGGCTGAGTAGCTGTCCAAAATGTCACAATGACCCTTTCAATATGACCATTATGTCCACCATGTTTAAGGTCAGATCAGAATTATGTGAGCACCTTTTACAGAAACTAACATTTAACACAGTCTCCTTAAACATGTTAAAAGATGTCTATGCGGTGGGGTAGCATAGTGGTAAAAGTGTTTGCTTGTCATGCCATAGACATGGGTTCAATTTCTCACATGGGTACAATGTGTGAAGCCTCATATGGCTTGAAATTGCTAAGAACAGTGTAAACCCAAACTCATTCACTCACTCACAAGACGTCTGTTTTTCATTGAACTGTAGCAGAAATGAAACACCACCTCAGTCAACAATACATCCATTGCAGCATGTGCCACAATTTGTACAACAGTACTTTGTGTCAGATACATAACACAACATCTATACTTCTTATCTTACATATTTTCATAAGTTATTTTATTTCATGGCAAAACTGACACTTGTAGCCTTTACAACTGTTTAACATTCTATCAACTATACTCACACCTTATTTATTCAAATGCTGTTTAACCAAGTATATACCATATATAAACGTTATACCTCGCATCAACACAATGTACCATATACCTTACAATATACCAGATATAGTCATCTCTCAGTCCCTGAGTAAGAGGCGACTAACCGGATCGGGCGGTCAGGCTTGCTGGCTTGGTTGACACATGTCATCGGTTTTCCCAATTGTGTAGATTGATGCTTATGCTGTTGATCACTGGATTGTCTGGTCCAGACTCGATTATTTACAGACTGCCGCCATATAGCTGGAATATTGCTGAGTGTGGCATAAAACTAAACTCACTCCCTCACTCCCACATTCACCCTCTCACACCACATTATTTTTCCTACAGCCTATCCCTCCCCTGCAATGCTAAAGCCCTAAATGAAGCAAGTTTAGATTTCCCCAGGTTCTAAATCTCCCAACTCACTGAGGCTGCTTTTCAATGTAAATGGGTCTCTTTGTTACTATCAAAAATATATATATTCAGGGACTAATTCTACTCTAACCTGATACCATTATGGTTAAAATCATCAAAATATTTGAACTGGAACATTTCACCATGTCACAACATCATCCTTTTCTACTGTACATCAAACTTATATATACCGTGAATTCCCAAAATACCGTGAAAATCACAGTTCTAGTGATGAAATATTTTAACCATACCTAAGCCCACAACTGTGAACGGAATGATGAAGTACAGTGTATTCAATACAAAACATGAACTTCAAATTAATAGTTTGAGTTGAGTTTAGCTGGGCTTTACGTCACATCGGCATTATTCCAGCCATATGGTGACGAGATCAAGTCTGAATTCATAAACATTTTTAACTTCAAACTAATATGACAGGGGTGACTGACTGATATCTATGTCAGTGACACTATTCAGAGTCAAAGTCTCCGCGTTTAGAAAGGAACGTCACTCTAAACACCCAAGAATTAAACCATATTTAAGCCAATGGGTTAAATACTGGAAAAAATCTCGTATTTTAGCCCATGGGCTAAATTTTGCATGGGCCTAAATACTGGAATTTCCGGTAATAACCACGACATCCAATTCTTTAAACAAATTGGCTTAAATACTGGAAAAAATCTTGTATTTTAGCCCATGGGCTAAATTTTGCATGGGCCTAAATACTGGAATTTCCGGTAATAACCACGACATCCAATTCTTTAAACAAATAATACGCTCCCTTACATATGTTCCTTACACAGGTCACTCCGGGACCAGGAAACACACATATTTCAATTTCCTGCCTAAACATGATAAACTTTGTTCTCCATTATCTTCACACAGAGTTCATTCATCATGTTCCGAGAAACAAAGCAGCACACTTGAGCCCAATATGCCCCTGTCACCATCAATCTTTCAGAAATTCACAGCAAATGAGAAAATATTGCCTCATCAAGTCAATACCACAGCAGCCATTTTACAGTTACTGCTGTGAAAAGTCCTGCTTCTTAACTGTCAGTTTTTAATTGGATTTGTTTGTTGGTTTATTGCTGCATGTTAATATTCCCGTTATCCACCTATGATGATGACATTCTGTAAATAACCAAGCCCCATGGGATTCTGGGTAATAATGTAGTTTCCTAGCAACCAATGCTTGTATTAAGGTGTCTGAAAAGATCGGATGGCAAGATTCACTGACTTTCTTGATAGCATGTCATTGTACCCTATCTTCATGAACTGATGCTCATGACGTCAATCACTAGATTGTCTGGTCCAGACATGATAAATTACAGACCGCTGTCACACACCTGAATATTGCATCAAACAACTAACAAAACAAATGATGAAGTCTGGACCTGATAATCCAGTGATTGACATCATGAGCATCAAATAACATTACCAGGTACGATGACACACAAGTAAATCATAGTGCCAGACTACCCAGGCCAGCCAGTCTTCCTGCGGACCGATTCCAACCCAGAACCCCTAAACAGGCATACAACAATAGAACAACCCTTTCTTACTTACCAATCAGTTTTTTATCCCCTAAATCCTCTTCGGCCGTTCCATGCATGTAGTACCTCCCTGAGAAGCCAAGGTTGAAATGGAAGCCATCAATCTCTTTCGCCAGTCGATTCTGGGTCTCGACAAGTGCCTGTTATCATATCATAACAACAGTCATTGTGATGATGTAGAACACATAAAACTGTATAAATGATTAATTAACAAATTATGGCAGCTTAATTAAATATAAAACACAGCTGCAAGCTTTTCTACTTCAGGTCCTATATGAAACAAACTGCACTTAACATGCTTAATGATGTGAGACAATCTGTTCAGTCTGGGTTGTTTCATAACATTTCCATGGTAACCCCAATTACATCTGATTAAAAGCGTTTTAGCAAATAACCACAGAATTCAATTAAACGCTCCAATTACAACATTACTGCTTCAAGATCTCAAACACAAAATACAACAGTTACCAAGTAACAGCATGTACAAGCTTCGAGAGAAGTATTATGAAATATTTTTACTTTTATCATGATCATATGAAACTAATAAATGAAATTTAAAAAATGTATACAAACAAAACTATTTTGCAGGCTGTGTGTCAGCTGTCACATGCAAGAGTGAGTGAGTTTAGTTTTACGCTGCTTTATGCAATATTCCAGCAATACAGTGGGGGAAACCAGAAATAGGCTTCACACATTGTACCCATGTGGTCTCATGCAAGACACTGGCCAGGCAGCATTCCACATGTACACACTATGTCAGTGTGTTCTTTTCATCTGTGACAGGTTTTATGAATTTTGGATTTAAGAATTAAACCGGACATAAAACATAACCATGACCACTGTGTAAAATATGCATACCAAAAATTGTCTGACAGTTCCAGACAATATGAAAAAAGGCATGTATTTTTCAGTTTCCCACTTCAGACATTTGCTATAACTTCTTTGCATTTCATTCAGTAGTAACTGTACAAGTTTAAAAGTTGAAGATAATTATTTTAGACCATCTACATTAAAATTATATATTCTGAAAAAGATCCAAACAAAAAAGATGAAGTTGTCTTAAAGTAAATTTTGTGTTTGCCTTAGCATGCTAAGGGCTAATATCACATTGTATGACAGTAATGATCATAAGATACCTATAACTGAAGTGATTTATACGACTGGACCACGCATGCATGCTATAGGATTTGTTGTTTGTTGGTTGGTTGGTTTGTTAATGCTGCACTCAGCAATATTTCAGCTATATGCCCGTAGTCTAAAGATAATGGAGTCTGGACAAGACAATCCCGTGATTGGCATTATGAGCATCAATCTATGGGGTAATATGTCAAGCATCAACCACTTCACAGAGCCTGACCACATGGTGCCATTAGTCACCTCCGACAAACATGGGCTCCCGAAGATCAGTTGTCCAGATTGATTTCGGCTAGCATGACAGGGAGCAGCAAAAGGAAATCAATGATTAACTTACAACGACATCTTCAACCTTCATCCGGATGCCTTCCTTTCCCACGAAGATGTCATCAATGTCAATCTGAAGAAACCTGTCCATTCCAACACTGAGTTTCCCATGGGAGATGAAAGACAAACTGTCAATCATCATCAAATGATGAAGCCAGAAGCCCAACCCGTATCCATAAAGAATCCTCCGAATGCCGTCATTCAATCCCGCATCGTACACAACAGGCACTACAGACTTGGCTGTCCTTGAAAATTCACCCTCGTCTGACGACACATGCGCAAAAGAGAGAGGTTCATATGTTGAGTGATTGGTATGGAACACAGTCCAGTAATCTGTCTGAAGACGTCCTTCAAACACATCCCCTGGTTTGGTGATCCTCCATATATCAGAGTAATGGTTGAGCTTATAGTCTTGAAGCACCAGATTGTATTGGACACTGAGCGGGAAGCCCATCACCTCCTCGATGATCGCTTCCTCCTTGGAAGGGAAAAAAACCTATCATCCCTACATTATAGTCCCTACAGTACTTATCCAACAACTGTCTGTTCCAGTTGTCCATATTTACATACGCTTCATAATTTTCAAATATCACAACAGCAAATTTCCCCTTGTCTGCATGTGTCAACGTTGGAAGATTTTTACCAGTTGGTTCGATTTTGTATTCAATTCTCAAGCCTTCAAGCAGTCGGGCTATGATAATCCCTTGCTTTGAGTACTGAGTCTCGACCATGAGAAGAACTCGATTTCCAAGTCTGAGACTAGCCTCAGAGCTATGGTCTTTTGGCACATGGGGCTGGTTCTTTGGTAGACCACTGTCCGGTCGGCACATCAGCATGGGTTTGGGTGGGTCCGCATGCCGCTTCACGATGCCGAAGTTCATGAGATGGTAGGCGAAGAACACACTGGAGAGAACACTGAGGGATATGACAAAAGCCAACCCTTTCATGAGACTGAACCTCTTTAAGCATAAACATTGCTTCACGTATGTTCTACACCAACGAATCTCACGAGAAAACCACATCGTAGAACAAAATTCAACAAACACAAGACAAAACAGGCATAAAAACTAAAACTGTAGGTACACAGGTCAGGTTCCATCTAAAAAGGACGACTTAACGTCCAGCAGTACTTTCATTGTTTAACCAATTTCTGTCGTCGACATTTTTTAATGGCAGATCTCCAGTTTAATAGTCTAGGTCTGCGGGACACTGAATTAGTTCTCATCCGCACCAGAGAGGCATCCAGCTTCTCAGTCAGACTGAACCATGACACAAACATCATGGCCGTCTGCTCAACAGGAATATGGAGACGCTGGCCATGGCTGTTATCCTCAGACAACAAAGTTTGTTGCAAGAGAATCTGAAACAGAAAAAATCAAAATGATAATCGATCAGCTTTCGGCTATACTCAGTGCACACCGCAACAACAATATCTGATTACAAACACATCCGAATTATATAAAAACTAAAGAACTATTTTAAGTAGTAATGCAGGGTTTCAGACCAATTCATTTTGTTAGACATTGTTAGAAAATGTCCCATTCTTGTAATTTGGTGGTGGTATTGATGATGATGATGATGATGATGATGATGATGTCAGTCATGTTGAATATTCACAGACACATAAGTCAAGAGGTCTAGTCATTACCATAATGTAAACAGTAAAAGCTTTATGGGGTCCAAAGGTCCATAAAGGACCCCAGGGGCCTCTTACTTCAAACAAAGGTACTCAACATGTTGACTATTACACCATGTTACACTGATGGTCAAATCTGTCTCAGATTGGAACATAGGCAATGCCTAACAAAAGCAATGGACATTTCACTAGTCCTAGTTTTAGCTAAACCGCTCAATAGTTCAGATAATATCATTGCTAGTAGAAATATGCCATTTTAAGGGTATTACTATTATATGTGTTATCATTATAAGAACTAGAGAACCAAAACATAACTTATGTTGATTTTGGAATTACACTTTCTCAGTAAAGTATCGATTCTAGTCCTTTTGGGTTGAGTCACATCCAGGATTCGAATACACAAACATTCATTTCTGTTGCTGAAATACTTCTACCATTTTCATTTGCTAAGCATCTTACCTATTTTCAAAATCTAGATTCATCGACATGATGAAGAATATAACTGACTGACTGACTGAGTTTGGTTTTACGCAACTTTTAGCAATATTCCAGCAACATCACGGCGGGGGACACCAGAAATGGGCTTCACACATTGTACCCTTGTGGGGAGATGAAGAATATAAACAACAAACAAAGATAATATTAGGATGCAACTCAAGTCCTGAAAATACAAGAAATATCTAAATATAAATAATTAACCAAGTACTAATCAGCATTGACGTAATGTAAAAATCAACATCAGATAATCATGGTTATCACAAAATCTACATCCAATTCAAATCTAATATTTAAAGACAGTATATCTTCAATCATACAAAGAAAATTTAGTACTTCTACTTTATTTTCCGTGTCTATCATATCACTGGATTCCTCTCATTAATCTCTCCCTAGTTAATTCTGTTTGTGGAATTGTCTTTTTGTGTAAACATCTTCCAAATTTGTACATCAACCTTATAATTGTGTAGGGGTGGTGGGGTAGCGTAGTGGTTAAAGCGTTCGTTCGTCACGCCGAAGACCCGGGTTCGATTCCCCACATGTATGTGAAGCCCATTTCTGGTGTCCCCCTCCGTGATATAGCTGGAATATTGCTAAAAGCGACGTAAAACTAAACTCACTCACTCACTATAATTGTGTAAACATCAATCAACTTACTGTTCAAACTTGACTCATGTATATGTACCCTTTCCTTCTGTATTGTACATCACATGCTCGGTAACGGTGTTAGTACTTACACTGAAACATCGCTCATAATAATGATAAAGTTGTATACCCATAGAACTCTCCCAGTTGTACCTCACACCAACTTCTAAACGCCCCTCAAAGAAGTTTCTACTCACGGCTCATGGTTTCATTGGTAATGAGTACTTATGTAACTAACTGGAACTCCACCCTCAGAGTGTTCCGACATTGTGTTATGTATAAACGATCTGTGTGGAGTAGCAACATCCTGTCAGTTGGATGGAGATAAGTACAGCTTCATCGCTTCAGCATCACAGTAGCCAGTGAGCCATTCACTCCCCACTTCCTTATGTCACACACTGTGTGGACGGGGTTCAGACACTGCACTGTGTACTCTAGCACTTTGACATTAAACATGTTTAAACATTACCTTCAGTACATGTTGATAATTGCACAGTTTGCCCTGCTGTCATCGTTTTAAGGACAGTTTAAATTGAACGACTAAACACATACCGTATTTACCTGTACATAATACTCACTTGACTGCACAAGAGCTCCATTTGGGTAAAAATGCCGTGTTGTGTTACTTACATTCAAAATCTGTTATTTTGCCTCGTGTGAAATCAACACTCATTTTGAACAGATTTCAATATTTCTTCTTATTATGGATTTATAAACAAAAAGTAGTGATTATACTCAGTGTAAATCTGCTAAAAAGCAATTTGAAATCAATTTCAATTAATTTTAAAACAGATTTGCAGTATATTTTGATAAATATTCACAAAACAAATCATCATCACAAGTGTTTCAGTGAGCTTGTAGAAATATACATGAGATTTCTAAAAGAGAAGAAAGAGAAGGAGTTGGATTGAGTGAGTGAGTTAAATTTATAGTCACATTGGCAGTATCTCAGCCATATAGTGACTATGGGAGTTGTATATTAAAAATAAACTTAGACAATACAAATATCTGTCGACGAAGGGCAATAAAATATCTAGATTATAAGCATCACAGATGTAAACTTAAAACTAGCATGAAGGATATGGTTTGGTTTGTTGTTTTACGCCACACTCAACAATATTCCAGCTATATGGCAGTCGTATGTAAATAATCAAGTCTGGACCAGACAACCCAGTGATCAACTGCAGTGCATGCGCATCGATATTCGCAATGGGGATATGATCACATGATTGTGTCAACCAAGTCAGCGAGCCTGACCACCGATCCCGTTAGTCGCCTCTTACGACAAGCATGGGTTACTGGAGACCAATTCTAACCAGATCTTCAAGGGTTTAAGGAGATGGAAGGTAAGGACAGATGCTAATCACAAATATACAATGCAATTTATGCAATTCAACATGTGTACGATAATCACAACACATCATTCCAAAGTGACATATTCACTCACATACACCATGAGATGAAATCAAACACAAATATACCATAATTCATATCAAGGATGTTTAATGCATAGAGATATTTGGTTATCATTAAGCATCAACAAGGGATCGCCCTGTGTGTATCTTGCTGAACATTTCCGTAACATCAATATCTTGTCAAGATCAACCATTACAAAGTATGACTCAGGGGATCCAGTATGTGCAACCAGTATTCTGGAATTTTCCACTTAAAAGATTCTGCCAGTACCCGCCCATCAAGTCGCTTTATGCAAAACACAGATCCTGTGAACTTTGAAAGGCCAGTGACATTTCTGACTGCTAAAGTTCTAGTTGCTGCAGTTTTTCATTCTATTCTATTCCACATATTCTAAACTAACATTAACTCTCTGAAATGAACATATTTTACAGAAAAAAATGGTTCATAAATAATCATCATACAATATATGGAAAAGGAGCCCAGAGACTTTCTTCATTTTCAAACTGTGGTTATCTAGACTTGCAACAGATTCTAGACTTGCATGGGCTTTCTTGGATATATTTGTTTCAGGGTCTGTATGACAGACTACACATATTCCAATCCCAAACATGTATTGCATATTCCATATAGTCTGTAGACATAGAGCAGGAACTGTTTCTTCCTGAAAGCGTATATCAGCTTACAAACAGGTAAGTATGTAGACCAACATCAAGCTTCTGAAATGAACATATTTTACAAAGAAAACAGCTCTTAAATAACTTCACTATAATGCAATAAAAAAATTCCAGAGACATTCTTCATTTTCAGCAATCCTGAGTTTTAATGGAGTGCATTGGATAGGGACAAAACGATACAGCAAGGTTATAATATTATGACAATACGATACATACTTTACTATAACTATTTCAGGGCAGCCTCAGTCAAAAGGAGTGAGTGAGTATGGTTTTACACTGCTTTTAGCAATATTCCAGCAATATCACGACTGGGGACACAAGAAATGGGCTTCACACAGGCTCAAAAGGAAAGCCAACAAAACATGTTCAAGGCCAGTCATTTTACTACTTATTTTTAGTAATGAACACAAAACTCTAATTACAACACATTTTCCAATATCTAACTAACAAAAATGCTGGAGGTCATTAAAAAAGTAGCAAGTCATTTATTTTAAAACGGTAACTATGGAAACTCATCATGCACCCATGTACCTATGTATCATTAATCCCTTGTAATTGGATATATTTATTTCAGGGTCTTTATGACATACTAGTATGTCATGAAATGGCTGAGCAACTGTCCATAATTGCATGGTTAAACAGGACATTATGCACATACAGAATAACTATTTCATTAGTAATGGATACATCATGGTATGTTTGTGTTGATATATTTACAAATATGTCCAATCAATGATACACTTCTTCCGTATGCCATTGTTCAGTATATCTAGCAAGAGATCAATGTTCTTTTGAACAACAGAACACATGTCAGACGTTGACTTGTTCATGAAGAAAATATTAGGTGTTATCAATCTACATGAAAAGGAAGAGGTATGGTCTAATTTACAATTGCTTAGTTAGTGAGTGAGTTTAGTTTTATGCCGCTTTTAGCAATATTCCAGCAATATAATGGCTGGGGACATCAGAAAAGGGGCATTACACATTGTAGTATTTGTACCCATGTAGGGAATCGAACCCGGATCTTTGGTGTGACGAGATGCTTTAACCACAAGGCTACCCCCACCACCCCACAATTATTGTTTTGTATCTGTCTAGGCCCCACCATTCCCCCCACAATTATTGTTTTGTATCTGTCTAGGCCATGGCAAAATGACATTCCCAAGTTTTAATATAGCTTGTATTCTTTGTACTGACACTCTTCAATTCCAAAAGGCACACACAAAAGTCTTTTTGTAGCACAAAAAAACAAACATCTAAATTTGTATTCCTGCATGCCAATGGGGATAGGACCACAGACAATCTCCAATCAGTCTGTGATTGACAGGATTGTTCTTTTCAAACAAATGTATAGCCTACTTAATTTGTAGCCTCAATGTTTTCGACCAAACAAAGATTGAAATCGGGGATGAGTGTTCGAATTGCTCAATTGTTCTTAAGAGTTTCTGTTGCATAGTTGGTACAGTTTAGTTCTTAGTTTGAGGTTACCATGGT